ACAGCCCACTCCACCTCAATGGTCTCCTGGTCTCTCTTTGAGCTCTACCAGGACCCAGTCCTCCTAGAGCAGATCCGTGATCAAGTCGCCCCCTTCGTCCACGTCGTTCAGCCCAAGAACGAATTCGGAGGTGTCGTCTGGGTTCCCCCCAAGATTGAGAAGCTCGATATGGAGGGTCTGATGACAAAGTGTCCTCTCCTCAAAGCTGCTTACCTCGAGACGTTGCGACTACACGGCGGCGGCTGGTCCGCGAGGCTTTTGAAGGAGGATGTAGTCCTCAAGGATGAGGGAGAGGCGGGTTACGTGCTCAAGAAGGGCACATTTGCACATGTCGTTCCGGATCTGCATCGCACCGATCCCAAGGCCTTCTCCGACCAGCGAATTTGGCACGTTGGACGGTATCTCGAGGATGATGTAGACTCCAAGGGAACCAAGATACAAAAGGTCAACCCAAAGACGGTACAGGCATCTGGTAAGTTTACATATCCCTCCGATCGATCACAACTAACCTTGGCAGATGGAACTCTTACAATGTGCGATGACTCCGACTTTACCATGAGAAAGGTGTATATGTACACTTCGGTTCTCATCTCACTTTATAATGTCGAGCCGAAAAAGGGTGGTGATTGGGTCACGCCAACACTCGTCAAGGGAGTGGCTTCAACTCGCCCATCACGGTCGATCAGGCTTTGGATCAAGCCAAGAGCATTGCCAAAAGCCAAGTGAGAGACGATCTAATATTGGGGTTTCTGCTATCGGGGAGGGACATTTTGAGGTCAGGGTGACGGCGGCGGCTTTTAGTAAGGTTACTTCATGATCAAGACTTGGCGGCGCATCTTTGGGGGTTCTCAATAGACATGGTGTGTCGTTTCGGGTCTACGCGTTCAGCAACATCTCGTTCGGCTTGCGAATGGGTTTGGAGGTTATGGGGATCATATCGTTATTAGTAAAGGGCCACACAAACACCGTGTGCATGAAGCTACATGGGGAACATGGCGGGTGATGGGTGATGATAATAACTACTCTCTATTCAGTTACAACACCTTCTACTTCTATGGAGGCATGTTTACATGGTCCTCATGAGGGAAGCAAGATGCCCAAGATGGCAACCGGGGTTCGGTGTACAGTAAATCTCCGTCCCTGTCCTGCCACGCCGGCAACCGAAGCTCGAAACTCGAGGAAACTTGGACATCAGAGCATCCTCTTGCTTCTCATAACGCAGCTATTCGCGTTGTATCTCACTGTCAACACTTTGATCCGCACTTCATTCGTTACACGCGTGTCAGACCATTGGACTAAGAGTTTTACATACACAGAACATTCCGGTTTCCATTCTTGAAACTACCATTGCACCCCAACACGTCCATCAAGCTTATTCTCTGCAACTCTAAGCTCTTGGCACCCTCACCATCTCGCCCTAGGGCCTAGTGGGGCATAGCGACAAGTTCTTACATACACAAAACTGCAAAAAAAATATCCACAACCCCCAAAAAAGGATTGTGAGCACATGTGCTCCCCCGGGAAGGCTCGAACTTCCGATCTCCCGATTGTCTAATGAATAACAGTCGGACGCTTTAGCCAACTAAGCCACAGGGGATTAGCTAATTGGATGGTGAGGAGCCTTCGAGTTGGGGCTCATGTTCGCCGGGGTTCTCGGTGGAAGGTTATGGGAAGAATTGGGTCTCGGTTGAGTTGGGATGTGTCCTGGAAGTGACTGAGAGCGTGTGAGGAGACAATTAGCCGTGGTTGGGAAGAAGGCGGTCAAGTAGACGAAGGAGAACCAAGAGAACTCGGCAGCCAGGAACAAGCCACAAGAAGCAGACAGAGTACGGGCAAACGACAAGGAATGGCGTACATCATGACTCCAAGGACAGCAGACATATTTGCAAAAACAAATCAGGTTAGTAGCTTGCAATTTGTCTTCAGTCTACGGAGCTAGCAGGGAGAACGATGCCCAGAGATCGCCATTGAAGGCCAGTCCGGAACCTATCCATCGTCTACAGGAGACAACAAAGTATGCCAAACCCGTCGTCAACTTAAAGCTATGCAGTCAGAATAGTATTAGCCCATGGCAATAGCCTCAATGGCATTCGAGTTACTTAAACCCCCATCAAGTAAGAGGTCAAGTCAGTCCAAACGTAGTCCATTGAGTTGCAGAGACGACCCAATTCACACCAGCCTTCAAAAAGAAGGCCTCAGAGACATAATTCTCGCAAAAGTAATGAGTGAAAAATCAAAAAGAAATAGTTGCTCCCCCGGGAAGGCTCGAACTTCCGATCTCCCGATTGTCTGCAAGTAACAGTCGGACGCTTTAGCCAACTAAGCCACAGGGGACTTGTTGTTGAAGGCCGGGTCCGAAATAGCGTCTAGCTGGGATGGGAGACCAGAGACAGGTCAACGGATGTAAATTGGATACTTCAATTTGACTCGAATAACCTGTGTTTTATTGTGAGAGAAGAGAGCAGCTTGGTGTTGCTTCAAATAGTCCAGGTGGTTGTGTGGGTGGACCGTCTTAGACCTTGCTTGGGAGTGTTTGCTGGACAAACATCATTCGACTCGGCGTCCTCGTGGCACGAGTCAGCCATCAAGCGTCTTGAATACACCAATTGAGAGCTGACAGAGGTTCTAACAACATAGTGGCCTCATAATACCATGCTAGAATGAGAGTGAGGCTCACAAACTCTGCCTGTGTGTCAAAGTAAGATGAGATGACTTACCCTGTACACTCACCACAGGATATCTCGAGCTCCCAATTACACGGCATTCGTATTTTTTAGGAGTCTCTTCAATGTCTGAGTCCCTAGTGGGATACGTGTATATCACCTTGCGTTGTTGCAAGTATTTATTGCATAGAGTCATGAACTTGTCCTTCATGATGTTTCTCCCTTTCGGCCCATCAAAACCAAAGAAAAGATAAAATCCAGTCTGCTGACCCATTGTTGGGAGAGGCAGCCCGTTCGGAAGAAGATTCGTTGAGGCAGTCGGCTGTTTATTGTGGCAATGGATCTCTTAGGATTGATATTTTATCTCAACGCCGAGAAATATACTCGAGGCGTGTTACTTCGTGTCGTTTTTGTTAAGCCCCTATATTCGGTCCATTAATCGCCCAAATCGTCTTGTGGCAGTCACGCGGACGAAGGATGAGAGCAACATGCTTCAAGCCTCCACAACCACAATCACATCTCACGAGAACTCACCCGGGCTGTGATTGTCCCTCCTCGGTGGCGTCTCTCATTGTCCGCCTTACCATGCTCCTGAAGAGGATCAAACAGGGGCTGACGTGAGGTACTTCCAATAGCATAGTCTGAAACCAACTGAGGCTATGCTTAATGATCCCAATCCTTTGTCAATGGCGGAGTCTGAGGCGGATTGGGATGTTTTTCAACAAAAAGGTTGATCCGTCGGTCCGTCCGTTGGCTGTGCTTGAGAAATTTCCAATGCATGATACTTTCGTCATAGGAATCTGTCCCGACGATCCCCGGCTGGGGTCCGGAGACAACATCGGCGATCGGTGCTGCTAGGCAACGACATACGGGGCCGAAGAGGTCGGCCTCGGATCCGGGGAAGATGGAGCAAAAACAGCTAAAAGGTGAGATTAACAAATGAGATTTCTCCGAGGCTGTGAAGGAGGCTGTGCGGAATACGACTCAATAGCTTCACCTTGTTGGTTAATAAGTCCCGCCCTGCCTTGGGCGGTCAACCTTGCTCAGCAAAAATCTGCTGACATTGGATGAGCATCGAATAAATTGGACCGGTCTAGATGATCAGCAACCCCATTGCTCAGCCTTGAGGGATAATCCAAAGTGGCAACTTTAAGCAAGGCGCGGTCCCTAACGTCAATCTCAAAGTCGAGAAGAGTTCTAGAAGCACAAGCATGTGTCGTATATCGTGGGCTCGGGTTGCGGTGCCGGCGGTTACCAGATGGAGCTCATGATTGACAATCATGTCACCAGCTTCTGCGCCAAGGGGAAACTATGACCAACCATCAGCAAGTGGAGGAGATTGTCTTTGGAGGCAGTGCATAGGTCACGTTCTTGGCTGCGAACGGTGTTGGACATTGGCGACAGCGTAATGATTGGGTAGACCTTGGTTCGGTAGATTGATAGTGCCTGTTTTGGAGATTTCCAAAGAAGTCGGGCGCAAAAAAGGCCTTCTCTCGTCTCTTGTCACCAACATTCGTCCCTGCATGTTTTTTGTACTGTAACGCCATGAGCGCATTCTGTGGAGGCTGAGTCGAATACGACGGGCTCAACACCCGCTATCCCGATCCTTCAACGAGGAGTCGCCGGAAAGAAGCGAAGCGAAGCGATGAATTGGAATGGCTGATGATGGTTGCGACAATGACCAACAGACTAGCACTGCTCATCGTTACCGGGTGCGCGACAGACCGAGCGACCAAGGGTCTTGGGTTGTCTTGGCCATGGTGTAAAGGAAACAAGCCCGGTCACGTTATTTCCACAAATTCAATGTGCCGTATCCCGAGTTATCCGCTCAAATATGAGGGAATATCGGTTCCAAAGGGCGTCGTGTGCTAGGTCGAAAAAGGCTGTTTGAGGTAAGACCACCACCTTTTTGCTTCTCGCATTGATCGTATCTCTTGATACCTGGGCGGTCTCGTCCTGGGGGAAGCTCTTTCCTCTGTTGAAGCCTGGTCGAAAGATCAAACCCTTGCCCCGCACGAGCTTCTGGTCACACCAATCAAGACACTCCATTGGAGAATAAAGCGGGACTCGACATGTGTGCCGACAGGTCCCGGCCTGCAATGCCACGCAAGCTCCACAATTAGTGGGGCTGGTCGCTCATCACCTGTGCTCGAAAATCAGTACGTACCGAGAAAAGCTCCCTGCAGGATGAAGCTCAGGTTGTGTCGGGTGCTCCTTCCAGCGACGTCGACGTCACCCCAGGACTTGGCTCTTCTCGGCGCACGAAGGAACAGCGTGATGAGATGAGATTAAATAACACGTCTTCCCCCACCCCCAGAAACTTGGTGACACCATCATCTTTCTCTTTTCACACTGGATTCACGAGTACTATCTGATTACACTTGCACAAACTACTTCAATACAACTAGAAGCTCGACGTAATCTCACCATGTCTTCTACAGACGGAATGATCAACGGCGGAGGTTCATCCTCCAAGGCTGCCGCCCCTGCTGAGGGCAACGGAGGCTTCCAGGCCCAGCACAAGATGGCCGTCGTACCTCCCAAGAAGGAGGATCTCCAGCGTAGCTACGCTAGAGTTGTCGAGGACAATGTCACCCCCGATGGCTGGTACGCCAGGATGAGTACGCAACCTCCAACAAACTGATTATCAGATGCATTCAAATCTAACTCATCCCAGAGGATACTCTTGGTGTTGTCATCGGAACCATGGGCGCCATCCCTTGCTGCATCATCTGCCCCAACCCCTACAAGGAAGTCCACCAGGGCAACGTCGGTCTCGTCACCAAGTTTGGAAAGTTCTACAAGGCCGTCGACCCCGGTCTGGTCAACATTAACCCCCTCAGCGAGAAGATCATCCAGATCGACGTCAAGATTCAGACTGCAGAGGTTCCTGAGCAGATTTGCATGACCAAGGACAACGTCACGCTGCGTCTCACCTCGGTCATCTACTACCACATCGTGGCTCCTCACAAGGCTGCTTTCGGCATCAACAACGTCCGCCAGGCCCTCATGGAGCGTACTCAGACCACACTTCGTCATGTCGTTGGTGCTCGTGTTCTTCAGGATGTTATTGAGCGTCGAGAGGAGATTGCCCAGTCGATTGGAGAGATCATTGAGGATGTCGCCGCTGGATGGGGTGTTCAGGTTGAGAGCATGCTCATCAAGGACATTGTTTTCAGCCAGGAGCTGCAGGAGTCGCTCTCCATGGCCGCTCAGAGCAAGCGTATCGGTGAAAGCAAGATTATTGCCGCCAAGGCAGAAGTAGGTCACAACATTCCCCCTCAGACCAACACTTGCTAACAAAACCAGGTCGAATCCGCCAAGCTTATGCGTCAAGCTGCCGATATCCTCAGCTCTGCTCCCGCCATGCAGATCCGATACCTCGAGGCCATGCAAGCCATGGCCAAGTCGGCCAACAGCAAGGTCATCTTCCTACCCGGCGCGAACCAGACCATGGGCAACGCCCTCAACGCCGCCATGGCCGCCAACCAGACCGGCGAGTCCAGCAGCGCCCAAGCCGAGGGCGGCTACCAAGACTTTGGAGGTCAGGACCCAGGTTTCCAACAAGCCATGCACGCTCGCGTCGTGGAGAACATCTAAATATTCTCCCCTCACATCGTGTGTTCTTCTCTTTCTAGCAAACCGTGGAGGCAATGGTTGGCTAACGCTTAAGGATTTCCCTTCGATGGGGTTTAGCCTGGTCTACTTGATTTCAGAAGCATTGCTCCCGCTGCTCTCTTCTCGTCTTCAACAAGCAGCAGCGCTACATCTCCCGTTGCAGCGGAGATGCTCGAGCGTTACTCTTTCAAACCCCATGATTTGTTACGACTTGTTTCCTGTTACGCCTGCGTCGTGTTTTGCCTTTCGATACCCTCCTCGACAACCGAAAATCGCGCGCCTTGACTTTTTTAAACTTCTGATGTATGTATTTTACTTTGGTTTCTTTTATGTGGAGGAAAGGGGTGACTTGGGTGCGGTTTGGTGGGATACCCAGGTGTGCTCGACGGGGCAGTCTTAATGAAGACCAAGTCACCAGGATTATGAGATTATGCCGTGGTTTATGTTATGGAGGATACCCCGATCGTTACGTCAATCAAACTCGTTTGCGCTATGCTTCTGGTGTCACCGTGATGATGCTCCTGTGATGTCTACAACAATGTTTTATACCGACTCATACTATCACTCACTTCGTGACAAGCATTTGAAAGCAATCTGAACTTAATAGTTTCTCTTCTAATTCCCATCTGCTATCCATAAGATACACGGCGTCTTCTGTTCCCCCTCCTTCAAAGTCCGCAAATCTACTCCAGCGAGATTGGAATAGGCAGAGGATCCGAGAAAATACGAAACAAGAAACAACAGTGACTAAAACCAATCACGCCAATATGCCCCTCCGTCCAAACGCCAGCCAGTCAGGAAACAAGGTGCCCGCTGGCAGAAGCTGCCAGCCAGGAGTCTCTCAGGTATCATATAACTACACATCGGGAACCGTCCAATCATTTTTCTAGTGCTTTTCGTCGCGCTCTCTTGTTTTGTTTGGGGATGGTCCGTCGTCAGTGTCCAGACGAGTAAGAGTGAAGCAAGGGGGACGCTGACGATTAAGTCTTGCGATCCCACCTCCGTGTCTGATTCAGCGTCGCCGCAGCGTGAGCTGTGACTTTTTCCTCGAGGGCACCTAAGCCTCAGAGTGGCGCTTCTTCTTCTTCTGCTTCTTCTCCTTCTTGGGCTCGGCCTCGTCTTCTGAGTCGTCGTGCTTGCGCTTCTTCTTGCCCTCAGGGGCAGCCTCCTTGGAAGGTGTCGACTTCTCCTCGGCCTTGCGCAGCTTCTTGAGCTCCTTCTTGCTGAAGACCTTGGGTGTGCCGTCGTCGTTGAGCTCAACGTCGCCTCGCTCGTACTTGCGCTTGAACTTCTTGACCGAGAGACCGGCCTCCTCGGCGAGGCGCTCGTAGTCGGCTTCCGACAGCTTCTTGGGCTTGGCAGGGGTGGTGATGGCAGCGTCCTCCTCGTCGCTCTCAGCATCCTTCATCTCCTCATCCTCAACCTCCTCAATGAGCTTCTTGGACTTCTTGCTCTTCTTGGCAGGAGTAGTACTGTTGGCGGCCTCCTCATCGACACCGTCGGCGTCGCCGTTGTATCGGCGAGTCTCCTTGAGAGTGAACTGACCAGCGCCAACAATCTCACCAGAGGGGGTGACGTTGGTGCCCTTGGGCAGAAGGGGCTTGCCTTCGAGCTTTCGGAGGTGGTTCTCGAGCTTGATGCGGTTGCTGAGACCAAGGATGGCGCGCTCCTCGTCATCGACATCGTCCTCGAACTCGCCGAGAGCATCGACACGCAGACCAAGAGCAGCCTTGGCAGCCAGCATACGGGCAATCTTACCCTTGTTTCGGCCGTTGGCCTGACCGATGAGCGACGAGTGGTAGATGAGACCATACTTGGGTGTGTCGTGCTTGGTCTTGAGAGCGCGGAACAGGGCCTTCTCGGCACCGAGAATCTGAATGGTAGAACCAGGGGCCTTGGCCAGGTTGATGAGGGAGCCAGCGTGGGCGATGAGGCGGGCACCAACGAGGTAGCCGACGAGGGCAGTCAGGTTGGGGGCAATGGCGCGCATACGGTTCTCGAGGTACGAGGACAGCTGGGTTCGGTAGTTGGAGTAGACAATGACCTGGTCAGCCAGCAGCTTGATGTTGTCAAGATCCTCCTCGGTAATCTCAGTACCCATGCTGATCTCAGCAGCGGCCTTGATGGCGGCCTCGATCTCCTCAGGCAGGATCTCGGAGAGGTCGCTCTCGGAAATGTTGGTGCGCATGCCGACAGCGAGGATGACACGGGCATAGGCCAGGTTGTCGTTGAGGATCTTGGCCATCTCAGGGAAGTGCCAGCCGTACCACTCCTTGGTTCGCATGGCGTAGACGTTGAGCTCCTTGTCGAGATCGTCGAGGAGCTTGATGGCCTGGATGATCATGGCGTCGACCTTGTCGGCCGAGAACTTGAGCTTGTGGCGCGACATGGAGTGAGACAGACCCAGAGCCATGCGGTCAAAGTTTTCCTCAACAAGACCAGGAATGAGGTTGGAGAGCGAGCCACGAATGCCACGGAACAGATCCATCGTGTTGGAACCCGAGACGGGAGAGATGTTGAGCGCGGGCAGGTTGGAGATGGCCGTGCCCAGCTTCATGTCGGCGACGGCGAGCGAAGCCTTCTTCTCGGACTTGAGGTCCTCGAGGAGCGCGGTGAGCAGCTCAGGGACCTTGCCATCCTTGAGCGCGGCGGCTTCCTCGAGAGCGGTGGCGGCGCTGTCGAACTTGACGAACTTCTTGAGCTTGAGCCTGGAGGAGAAGATGGTGTTAGCGACGGTGGCTTGTGTTACTTGCCATCTAGTGGACACCCAATCTCGTAGAGAAGACATGGTGTGCAGTTCAATCGTTGGCAATGACAGGATTGAAAAGGAGACTCACATCTCAACGACCTTTTCAGGACGTCCCAACTCGGCTGCGAGTTCCTCATTCTTCAGCATCTTCTTGTCGGTGGCCTTGAACAGGCCGTAGCTGCCAATTGTTAGCCCATCCGCGTCTCGAGTACCAGCTCGTTCCTTCCGAGTTCTCCAGGTCGCGACTTACCCTGCCGGCGTCTCTGCAAGCACAAAGAGCGACATTGTGAATGTGAGTGTATGGGCTCCTCCCCGATGTTCTCGCGCTGGTCGATTGGCGTCGTTGCTTCCTCACGAGGCACAATCCCGTTCCGTTGTGCGAGGCTGCGAAAGGAAAGTGCGAGGTGCTTGCGATGGAAAAATTTCAGTTGGAAGCTCCAAAGTCTCCACTCAAATTTTTTGGTCTTTGGTTGCAGGCGCAGAAAGTGGGATGCAGGTCCACGGACAGCGGTGCTACTATATTCCGGGCGGGTCGTGGGTACGTACCTTTGCCCAACCTCCTGGCCACTCACGTGTCGACATTCGCGACGCTCCAGCTTGCGTCGTCGCTCCAAGGCTTGGGAATGCTAGGCGACCAACTTTGACGATCGACTTCAACCATCTCACGACCGCGCAGCCGTCTTTATCTCCTTATACGTGATAATCTCGAGTCGAACGAATCGCGACGAATAATTGACAAGATGGAGGGCCTTCTCTTCAACGTCAACAACGGGTGCGTCCTACTCCGAGCTAGGAGCTCCATGATACACGAAGCTGAGATGGAGACTAACCCTGGCCAACAGCTACGTCGAGGGCATTGTCCGCGGCTACCGCAACAGCCTGCTCACTGGCCCAGCCTACAACAACCTGACGCAATGCGAGACCATCGATGGTACGTACATCATCTCATTAACAATGTCCTCTTCTAACTTGCTCAGATCTCAAGCTTCAGCTCGGTCCTGCTTATGGCGACTTCCTCGCCTCTCTCCCTCCTAACCCTTCGACGTCCGCCCTCGCAGCCAAGACCACCGACAAGCTCATCTCAGAATTCCGATATGTTCGTGCTAATGCTGTCGGATCGCTTGCCACCTTCATGGACTACGTCACCTACGGCTACATGATTGACAACGTCGCCCTTCTCATCACCGGCACCCTTCACGAGCGCGACACCCGCGAGCTCCTTGAGCGATGCCACCCTCTCGGCTGGTTCGAGACTATGCCCGTCCTCTGCGTCGCCACCAACATTGAGGAGCTGTACAACAGCGTGCTCATCGAGACCCCTCTTGCTCCCTACTTCAAGGGCAGTCTGAGCCACCAGGACCTTGATGAGCTCAACATTGAGATTGTCCGAAACACTCTCTACAAGAACTATCTCGAGGACTTTTACAACTTTGTCAACACTCACCCTGAAATGGCCGGCACTCCCACCGCCGAGGTCATGTCCGAGATTCTCAACTTCGAGGCTGACCGCCGAGCCATCAACATTACTCTCAACTCCTTCGGCACTGAACTGTCCAAGCAGGACCGCAAGAAGCTCTACCCCAGCTTTGGCAAGCTGTATCCTGAGGGAACCCTGATGCTCTCCCGAGCTGACGACCCTGAGGGTGTTCGTCTCGCCGTGGACGGTGTTCAAGATTACAAGGCCTTCTTTGACGCCATCTCAGTCGGCGGTGGCCCTTCGGGACCTGGCAACATGGGTGGCGGTTCCAGTGAGGGCCGAACCCTGGAAGACATGTTCTACCAGAAGGAGATGGAGATTTCCAAGAGCGCCTTTACCAGGCAGTTCACTCACGCCATTGTCTATGCTTGGGTGAAGCTAAGGGAACAGGTGAGTTTCACCCTTTTCATCTCAACTCAGTCACTAACAAATCTCAGGAAATCCGCAACATTACCTGGATCGCCGAGTGCATAGCTCAGAACCAGAAGGAGCGCATTGGCAACTACATCTCGGTCTTCTGATTTCCTCGATTTAGCACACCCCCCGAGTCTCTTTTCTAGCATGATTTTGTGTAGTATAGCAGCAAACTGTTGAGTCTTAATGGCAACGGACTCGTTCCGACACTGGCGCAAATGGGCAAAGATAGGTTGATGCAAAAGGCGGCATCGTTCGCTTTCGTTCTTCCAGGTGGCTTGTATTGTACATAGAGAGAAACACACGTTATTCTACAAAGACAGCCGTTTCTTCGTCTCTTTTTTTTCTTACAGCGAGATCTGGTTCTTCCAGGTCGCGGGTGTGAGGCCCAGCTTCTCAATCATGTTTGTCCAGCGCTCGCTCCCCCTTTCCTTGCGGTCCATGTACTTGAGCAGCTTCTGCCGCCTGTGCAGCAGGAGTCGTAGGTTGCGCTTGTTGTGCTTGTCCTTGTAGCCGCGGTTGATCTCCAGCGCCTGGGAGAGGGTGCGGATCTTGGCCGTCAGGATGGCGATCTGCACCTCGGAGCTGCCTGTATCAGGGCCTGATCGCGGCGCCATGGGCAACTCGTTGGGTGTAATAGACAGAGCCTTGGGCTTGAGCACCTTGTCGGTGTTGTGACGGCCAAACTCGGCGACGATGCGCCGCACGTTGGCGTGGAAGCGGTCCTTGGCACTGCTGTTCTCCAGGGAGGTGATGCGGCGGAGAGCCTCGACAGCCTTGTGATGACGCTGCTCATATTGCTTCATCTTGTCCTCCTCAGTCCCGGGCTCAATCTGTGATTCAACAATGCCAACCATGGGCTTGGTAAGGGTCTGTCCTTGTTGAATAGCCTCTTCAAGTTCCCACTTAGAGAGGAAGTGGTTTAGGATTTCAGGAGACGTCGGCAGCTCCTGAGGAGCAGCACCCTCTGCACTCGTAGCGACCTGGCTCGTGGTATTCTGACCGGCCGAGTCAAGGGACTCGAGGAAGGGAGTCGTCCGGCCCTTGATGGGGTCACCCCAAGCCTCCTCCCGCTCCCGCTGGAGCTCCTCACGCCTCTCCACATTGGCCGCCTTTCGCTGCTGCGCCTGAGCCCATCGGTACGGATCCTGCTTTGCCTTGCGCTTCTTCTCGCGCATGGAGAGGTTCGCCGTCTGGACGATGGGGAGGAAGTTTGGTGTTGCGGGCTTCGCGGCCGGTCGGAGGCAGACTGTGCTCAATTGATCAGCATTGAGGGGGGTGAATTGTCCCAATGAAACGTACGGTTCAAGGAGCCTAGGCGCGGCAGCGCCGTTATTCTGGGGGGCATGGTGGAAGCATCAATCTGCTGCTGCTTTACTATAGAGATCGATGAATTGACGTCCAAAGCCTCGCCCCAAATTTTCCCATCATCCAACGGCCGATGCCGAACAAAGGCGGGCTGTGACCAAAGTGGACTAGCTCAAGTATCACGTGGAGATACCGCACCTCGATCCAATATCGTTGTACTAGACCCTAAGTGGCCTAGCCTCGCCAGGGCCATCAGGGCTTTGCACCACCCACACATTTTGGTGGTCACAAATTCCTCGTCGCGAACTTTCTTGCGACTCTACGAAAAAACATCACGACGCAACCTTCTTCCCTCAACCCTCCCCTCCCTCCCAGGAAGACAGACAAACAAATCCGTCAAGATGGCCCCCTCCAACCTGCCCTCCGTCTTCAACGCCACCAGCCAGGACATTGAGATGCTCCTGGCTGCCCAGTGCCACCTGGGTAGCAAGAACCTCCAGGTTCACATGGAGAACTACCTCTGGAAGACCCGTGCTGACGGTGTCAACGTTCTCAACGTCGGCAAGACCTGGTACGTCTTGACTCTACTCTGCGATGGATTTACGAGATTTCTGGTGGCATAATTGGAAGCGACGCGACCGGGAGGATTGGACCTTTGCGAGCTGAAGCTATCCGGAGGAGGGGCACAGAATCTCCAAAAACACCAAATTTCGCACAATCGCTAACACCACCGTCTTCACAGGGAGAAGATTGTCCTGGCCGCCCGCATCATCGCCGCCATCGACAACCCCGCCGATGTCTGTGTCATCTCTGCCCGTCCCTACGGACAGCGTGCCGTCCTCAAGTTCGCTTCCCACACTGGTGCCACTGCCATCGCCGGTCGCTTCACCCCCGGTTCCTTCACCAACTACATCACCCGCTCGTTCAAGGAGCCCCGTCTGATCGTCGTCACCGACCCTCGCACCGACGCCCAGGCCATCAAGGAGGCTTCCTACGTCAACATCCCCGTCATCGCCCTCACCGACACTGACTCCCCCACCGAGTACGTCGACGTCGCCATCCCCACCAACAACAAGGGTCGCCACGCCATCGGCTGCGTCTGGTGGATGCTCGCCCGTGAGGTCCTCCGCCTCCGCGGCACCATCTACAGCCGCGAGACCCCCTGGGACGTCATGGTCGATCTTTACTTCTGTATGTTTTACTTTGTGTATCTTTCACTCACATTCACTAACATCTTGCAGACCGCGACCCCGAGGCCGAGGCCGAGGAGAAGGTCGAGGAGGAGAAGGTCCCCGGCGCCGAGGAGGAGGGCCCCGCTGCCATCGAGTCCGGCTTCGCTGCTACTGGTGGTGACTGGGAGGCTCCCGCCGCTGGCTTCGCTGGTGCCACCGGTACCGGCTGGGACGGCGCTGCCGGTGACGAGTGGGGTGCCGCTCCCGCCACCACTGAGTGGGCTGCTTCCGCTGCTCCCGCCGCTGCCTCCGGCGAGGCTGCCAAGGAGACCACGTGGTAGGGTAACGAGGCTCCTGGCGACAACGAGGAGGTCGACGCCACTGCTGCTGCTGGACATGGAGGCGCAGAGGTTGAATACCTTCCTCCCGCCGACATTGAGTGGTGAAGAACAAAAGAAAAAAATTTACTAGGGAACGGTTGTCTAGTCACATACGTGTGACGGGCAGGAGAAACAATGGCGAAAGTGGTTCAATCAAACTATTCGGCGGCGTTTTTTCGACAAAGCTCTGGCTGACTTTTACAAAACAAACATCTTGGGACTGAGGTTCAACCATGGTGGTGCTGATGAGGGAAAGATACTATCCTCCCCTTTTTTTCTTTGATCCCTTTTTTTTCATCTCTCCTTTCGCGTGTGTATGTTCGCCCAAGGTTGAGGAGAAAGAGGGTGAGAGGGGTGGAGAGGGAAAGCCCTGTACCGCCAGGGGGGATGGACTTGATCGTTATCCCGCCTTTGTTCTGCGGTTTTGATGCGAGAGAAGCTAAATACGAGTCGTCCAAGCTGAGTTAAAAACCATGAAAAAAAGATGAAAGGTGCCGTGGATGCTTGTCTGTGATGTGTGTTGTAGATGTCTCTCTGAGTAGTCATTAGTGCCACTCCATGAGGTTATGCGTACTGTCTCGTAGCTTGTCATGTCTCGTAGTCACTTCTCTTTCATTGGCATCATGCTCAAAGCAATGCAAGTCTCGAGTATTAAACTGATGTTCCTTGTATCGGCCGTAAACTCATTTCACATCACAAACCACACTCAACTCAACCCCCCAACAATCATCGTAAAACGTGGTATCAATTCCGCCTTCAAGGCCTTCCTTTCTCTAACCATTCCCTTTACCCTCCTCCTAATCTTCCCCTCATATAACCCATCCCATTCATCAGTCCCTTATGTTTTCCCCCCCTTGAACCTCATTACTCCTATCCTAATCCAACCCTTCCCTTTTCTCACTCCCCCAGGGTTACAAGACCCTTGGCACACTTGGTGATAATAGTGAATTAGGAAATCTCAAAAAGAAAGCGCTCGTAATGCGGCGCGGAGGGGGTATGACTAAGCCAGAAAAACAGCTGAGGACCCAGACATGAACCATGTGTGTGTGTGTGTATAAACGAACAGAAAAGTGCCCAACTCCTTGCTTTGTCCCAGATGCTGTGTTGATGTATGATAATAGTGGTTTAGAACTTGAACAGAGACCCCGTCATGTGTAGATGTGTGTGTGCGTGTGTAATTCGAGTATGAATAGAGAGGGGTATAATGTCGAGGCACGCTGGGTATGCACTTCTGTACTGTGGTGGTGGTAATGAAACACAAAGTAAATGAAACTCCGTTGAGCCGGTGAGTCATCAAGGTCGTAATTTGTTGCCCGTGTTGGTGTGTTGAAGCGGACAGCTGCTTATTAGTTGTGGAGGTGATTACTCCAACATCTCTGAATGTCGTCGGATCTCCTCATCGCTCAGAGCGCTCATCCAAAGACATCTCTCAGTAATGCCCTCGATAGGCTGGAACTTGTACCGAGTGCTGGCCTCCAACAGGCGCAGCAGTGTCTTGACGACAGCAGCAGCAATGCGACAACGCTCAAAGTTGATCAAGGGGGGCGTGGTAGGTGAGCCAGCAATCTCTGACGGTCGCTGGGCGTTGTAGAGGAGATCGTGTGTGTAGATACCGACAAAGGGGATGCAGCCCGAGTCGGAGCCAACCTCCATCTCAGCACGGAGGTTGTAAAAGTTGCGCATAGGCGTTACCAGCTTCTCGAGATCGTGTAGTGTCTTGACATCCTGAGGGGGCACATGCTGCCATGTCCTCGACAAACGAGCGACCTCATTACTGGACAGGGCGATAGTGAGCTGTGCGAGGGTCGCAAAGTTGCGGTAACGTCGGCAGTGAGTTGCGATGTGGATGAACTTGCAGATGCATCGCACTCTCTCCTCGACTGTCTGTGTCATGACAATCTCAGAGATGGCCCATTTGACCATGATATTGAAGCGGGCAATGACAACATCAACTCCATGAGCATCGGTGTTGCGCAGAAACTCGACCCACGAACGAGAGTCACTGTAGGCAGCATTCTTCCAGTTCATGTCGATGAGCTCCTTCCAGTCAATCTCGTTGAGAGCATCCTTCTCGATCAGTGTGAACTGCTGAGCAAGAATCTCCGAGTCAAAGGCCAGGATGAATGGGAGGTGAACATTGTACTTGTCAGTTTCCGCAGCAACATCAGGCTTCGGGGCGAGGCGGAGAGCTTCAGTTGTCGCAGTCTGGTCATCGGTATGGATGTAGGGAGCCGTTGGCGTGGTCTCTGGTGTCGGAGGAAGAGGCTTCTGGCCCCAGACTTGTGTCTCGTGCAGTTCAGGAACCTTGAAAGTCTGCGGTGGCGACATCTCCAGAGCTTGTACCAGTGTCATTGGAGGCGAAGGAGGGTTCCTCTTCGGAGCAGGTGCTGGAGATCCAAGAGGGTGGGCTGGAAGCTTTACGCGAGGTACAACAGCGTCTCCTGACTCAAAGTCCTCATAATCAAGGGCCTCAGCCGACATCTCGGACGAAAGATCGCTATCATCGTCGAGGAACGACTGGTCTTCCTCAACCGTGGGCGCCGTGTCACCAGGCTTGATTCCTTCGATGCTGTCTGTCTTCTCAATGAAATCGAAAGACGCATGTTGTGAGTCCGGTTCAGGAGTGAAGACAGTCTTTTTCGCACGAGGAGTTGCATCATCATCGGAACCTTCGAGGATCGACATGTTGGTCCAAGCACGGCCAGGGGACTTGTCGCGGCCAGGATTCGAGTCTCGGTCCAGGATTGGGATGGACGAGTAGGATTCTCGTGAAGTATCAGACAAGAATGACTTGGCTTCGGTCAACGGCCGCTGGCGTTGAGGTGTTAGGAAGCTGTCATGAGAGTCAATAAGAGGCTCAGGCTCATCCTCTTCGGGATCCAGCATAAACGTCTCCCTGATGACAAGCTTTTCACGATGATCTCTCTTCTCGCGTTCCTCTTCCTCTGGATCCACCATATCCACGTCGATTTCAGGAGGAGGGTCAAAGACTCCTCCAGGAGACTGTGGGTCCATGGACAAGCTGTACGTCTTCTTCGCAGGCAACTTGCCCTCGAGCTTGGCCAGGGCTGACTCAATGCCACCATCGTCGTCGTCATCCGGAATCTGAGCAAGCTTCTGCGCCTCCTTCTCGAAAGAAGGACGCATGGCGGGCTTCGATGAATGTGTGCTAAAGAGCGAAAGGTCTCGCTTTGGTGCCTTCTCTGCAAGTTGGCCCAGAGAAAAAACATCGGCTCTGGACTGACGATACTCGATGGAGACTACCTCGCCTTTGCCGAAAGATTCCACACCAGGGCTCTGGATGTATGAACTCCGGATAGACTCCGAGTAAGTCGTCAACGACCCAACCGATCTTGATCTCCTTAGTGAAACCATGTCCAACTCGCCCACGTTTGTCGCGGCTCGTAGATCTCCACCCGGGCGTCGTCGAATAACTCGCAGAGGTTGTGGAACTGGTACATCAGGCTCTTGTGCCATCATCGAGGCGCCAGAGTCTGTTGTAGCATCAAAGCTTCGGACTGTGGACTGGCGAACAGTGCTGTTAAATGAGCTACGGCGACGTTGAATAATTGAAGCCAATGACTGGTGCGATCGAGTCGATTTGGTGCGACGATGACCCCTGTATGACAGAGGAGGATAGTGACGGAGACTGCGGTGTGTCGTTGAGAAGGATGCTCGGCTTCGCTCTTCGGAAGCTCGAGCACTACTGCCAGGGGCTAGAGTATCAAGGTCAGGCACAAAAGGTGGCAGAGGATCCTCATCAAGTGAAGGTCGGACCACATGTTGGTTGAGTAAATACGACGAACGCCTGGGCGTGCCAGTTCCAGCAGAGGGGCCGGTAGGAGGCGTTGTAGGAGGTGTAGGATCAGCGCCAGTGAGCCTGAAAGTTTCGGCAAATGCCTCGACAGAAGTGGTACTGGCAGGCTCCCCTCGCCTCATGAAAGAAGGATCAAATGGTGTCGTGTCGTCAACGATGACGATAGACTTGCTGCCCGTGGTGATAGCCATGTCACTAACTGGCCGGTGCTTGTGGTTGTGCGGCAGGCTGTCGAATGTGCTCGAGTCCATGTGGGCAGCTGAGTAGTCAACATCTCTCGCTGAGAGGGATGAGTTGGGGGATCCCATTGTGATGCCACGGCGTTCAGCATCAGCGGCGGCTTCCTCTCGCACTGCCTTCTTGAAATCTTCCACTGCTTCGGCGCCAAGCAAGTCAATCCTAACAGGAGGTCGAGATCCATTCGGTCTTTGCCTGCTCTGGGGGACAACTGCAGTTCCGGGAATACGGTTTGTTGTTGCCCCGCGAGGTCCGATATTGTTGACATTGATAAAACTTCCCGGTGTGGGAGACACCCCCTGGCCTCTGGTGCTAAGGGCTCGCCGCACACTTCCCAGAAGCTTCTTCATCCCGTGACCAGACATGGCTCCTGCTGGAATCCTCTCCTTGACCAAGTTCTGGCTCTCCGGGTGGAGAGTTGCCGTTTGCCTCTGGCTGGGGGGGAAATCATCGGGCTCGATATCAACAAATGCCTGGCCAGGGGGTAGAAGATTACCACGGACAAGACTCCCAGCATAGGGAACAGTCATCATGAACTCCTGGTCCTTGAAAGACATCTTGTCAGAGCTATGTTCCCGCAATGAATCAGTCAAACTGTTGTTACGCTTGTGCGTTGGCTGAGGCCGCACACGCTTTCCGACCAGCGTGCGAGGTGTCGTTGCTATCGGACCTGTATTATTGTAGACAGAGCTCGCTGTTACTGGGTGTGCTGCCAGTGGATTCGTCTGGTGAGGATGAGTAGCCCGCATGGCCTTGTTAGGAAACGAGCAAGAGACAATATCCAGACTCGACATGCTGATTGGAGACGCCTGCGATTCCACCTCTGCGGGATCTCTGGTGATCTGGCCCTCAGGGGTACTCGGCCGGGGATCCGTGACGATTGAGTCTCCAGCATGGCCAGCCCGGGAGATGTCGGCAATGAAACTTGTTCGCTCGCGTGTGCTCTTCATGAGAGGCAACAAGCTCTCAATTTGAGGCGGCTCCCCATCGTCACGGTCCCAGAAGGTCGGGTCCAAATCAGGATCTCTGTGACCGGCAATGCCACCAGGCGTAATGGGAACATCGGCATCCAGCGAGTCGTCGAAATTAGGGCCATCCCAGTAAAGAGCACAAACCCTACGCCAACATTTCTTGAGTTCTCCAAGGATCTTGAGCTGCACCTTGCGGGATCGAGAACATTGCGATAGTTCATCCACAAAATCGTTCAACAGCTCGCAAAACGTTGACCGGAGATTATAGTCAACGACAAAGTCATCCATAAAGTAGTTGAGAATCCAATGCCTCAGGGCCACAAATGTCCTAACCCGAACAACCATGCCAGTTTCGTCATCGCGTGCTAGTGCCCATCGTAACCGCGCAATGAGCATGCGTAATAGGTCAACGGATTCGAGGAATGCTCGGTAGGTTAGGAAGAAATCTGAGATAAGTTCGTAGTCGAGGAAACTGGGTGACGTGATTTCCGCAACGAGTCGTGGTGGTGTAGCGGCTGTGACAGCTCCGGTCGCAGGGGAGTATCTGACCAGGGCTCGATCGTCGCAGGCCGGCTTGAATGTGAGGTTGTCAAACATGGCGGGTTCGACATTGAGAATCGACTGGTAAGTCGGATGGACAGGCCGGGGCCCTCGAGGAGAAGGGGGGTTCGGAGAGGTATTGGACATGTTGCGCGAGAATCGCAACACCGGGACGGCCAACGAGCTCGGCCGCCTCGTCGATGCTAGATCTGGATGAGAACTGTTAAGCTCGCCCTGGGATCGGTTCAGCAGCGAGGCGCTGCTTGAGCGAAACTCCTCTGTGGGAGCGTAGGAAGAGCCACGAATCATCGGTGTGCCTCTAACAGTAAACCGTGGAGTTCCTATCCGCCAAGAGGGAATGTTGATATCGAGAAGAGGAGTAGAGTTGGCATCAAAATCTTCCATAGTCCGGGGTCGATGCTCCTCACCCGGCTTGGAGATGACGATTTTGAAAACCCCAGGGTCCGAATCCTTAGCGGCGGAGACTTCGTGGACCGTGCTGTCAGAGAGGGCGCGTCGGTGTTTCACGGACCTTCGAGCATCCCGGGGGTTGGCTTCAAAGTAGGCTTGGTTGCTGTCAAAAGGCGTGGCTTCCGGGGTCGGGGTGAACTGGCTGATGTGAAGCTCACTGCTCTCGTACTCGACGGGTTTGCTGTGGGGGAGGGTATCCAAGCCTGCTGTGCTGGGCGGAGTGATGGGAAATACGAATTGAGGCTGGGGACATCGCTGGTAGGCAGGGCGAACAGTCGGCCTGCGGAATGAGGGTCAGCGATATGTGAACAGGGGGACAAGTTGAGTTGTCAGTCAGTGCGAGCGTCCGAGACCAGCGCCAGCGTTCCTGTGCCAGTAACTTGATGATATCTCTGAGGCGACAGGACAGAGGATCGGATCGCAACGAGAGCCCGACCGAGACGTCTCCCCACAAGCACTCTGGGCGAAAGCCGGGAGGCGGGAGGAAGGGAGAGCGACGGGGCGGAGATGTGGCTGGCACACAGCATTCCAGTCGGTCGGACAAGTGAGGCGCTAGGTGCAGAAAAGAACGACAAGCACGAGACGATCGAAACCTTACCTCAGATATATCCGACCATTGTTGCCAACGTTGGCGACAGTGAATTGACGACCCTCACGACCTGCCGATCCACCATCTGGGGTGATGTCCCATCGAGGAAGGCTTCCCTGAAGGTCGGAATCCGAGTCCTTGAAACTCCGAGGCGTTGGCTTCCTCTGGTGAGATCTTCGCTCGGAGAGAGGGACCAAGGGTTTCGCGAGGGCGGCATTGGTCGAGGGAAGCATGCGCGTAGTTGTGGTGGTGGTGGATCTAAGGGATGGCCACTTGTTGTAGGGCGTCGGCGTCGAAGCGTCTCTGGGGCTGGAGTTTTCCTTTTCCTTGGGTACTGCGGCGGTGGTGGTTACGGAAGTGACAGGGTCGTCGACAGGAGACACAATCCCAGACCTTGGCTGGTGAGTCGTCGAAGACGCGGCGGCGGCGGAGTGAGCGCTCGGGATAGTCGACGTCGGATCCTTGACCGGAGGGCGCGACGAAGACGAGGACGATATGGGTATGGGGACGGGGGGCGGAGCGCTGAGGCCAGACGCTGGCGGCAGCGGGTCTGCGGACGAAGGCTCCAGGGCCTCCATGAGCACGGCCGCTCACGCGCGCTGCGTTGGCTGTCGTCAGGAGAGGGCAGAGCTGATGGTGCTCAAAGCGACAGAGGAGCTGGCGATCAAGGCATTGAGTTAGCAGCGAGCGTGTCAGTGTTGAGAGAGATCGTCGCGCATAGTCGAGGAGGTGGTGGTGGTTGTTATTTGATCCAATGCGCGCGGGGAGAGGGGCTAAGCGCTGAAAACGAAGGAGACACCAAAAGAAGAAAGGAGAGACAAGAGTGTACAGTGAACTGTTTGCGCACAACCAAGAAGGAAAGGAGGGAGAAGGCGATAGGACGCGGCGAGGCCGAGCTGGGGATTATGATGGGATGGATGGGGGGGGGATTGAGTCGGGTGTTTGCTTGGACCATCCACCATCAACAACGTTTGATTGCCCTGTTATGCTAAGCCCGTGGTAACACGTCTGTAATTACCAGAAGCAAGCCAAAACCTGGTCGAGTTTCTGACAAGCAGGGGGGAAGTTGGATGTGGGAAGGGGACTGATGTCATTGTGAGAGAATAGAATGAGACCTGGACCTACGTGACGAAGCCATAAACTCGATGTTTGCTCTTGTATGCGAGAGAGTATTCGTTACCATCAAGAGGCGTTGGCTACCCTTTGTCTGAGTCGAGAGGTTGGCAGAAGGATTTGGTTGGTGGTGAGTTGGGATGGGGGTGGAAATCGAGTCACGCTGGACTGCGCTACGCTCGCTATAGGAGAAATTTCGCAAAGGAGAGGGGCAAAGTAAACAGGGAATTTCCACGGGATCAATAAGGGCCCCCTCCCTCTTCAAACAGTAAAAAGTAAAGAGCAAGAGGAGAGAGACGAAGGAAAAAGAAAGGAAAAAGCGAGGCTGTTGGACCCGAATAACGGGGGAGAGACAAGACGGACGGGAGATGGGCTCTGGCGCTTCCATTTGGGATGGCACATGGAAAGAGGGTGTGGGGCTGAACGCGATGGCAAGTTTATGTGTACTGGAACCTCAGCCACCATACAATTTTATTACTCTTCAAGGTACTCAGTACGGTGAACTATGGAGTGCCAGGCCTTTTTAGGGCAACCCAGGGGAGGGGTTATGGCGCGTGGGCCAGTTGGGTCGGTCTCCCGTCGAGGCCCCCGTTCAAGCCGTTGATTGGCAGTCTCGGGGACAGGTTTCTGGCAGACGGCGTGCTGCACGAACTGTTTGCCAGTCATGAATAGCATAAGGAAAAAGAAAAGAACAGAGTATATTGACCTCTCAAAATACTGCTGTTTAGTGGTCAGGCAAAAGAGGTCACAAGCTGGTCAACGGAGAACATGGATGTTGCTGGGTCATGGATGGCCCACGGAGCCGGATATTCCCCCAGGAATGAATGGGTTGGAGAGAGCAGAGCAATGTACTCGGTACCTGCATCTGTACTCGCAACGGTCCCCCAGCTCGGCCCGTTCTCCCGCAAAAACACCCCTGCACGCGTGCACCCAGCCACCAGCCCTTTAATCAACGTCTAAGTACACTCTACCTTTTTTTTCATCCCATCCCATGCTTTGACGTTGCAGCAGAGGGACAAACCTGAACATCCAGACCCAACGTCAAAGCACACATCTTTGAGCTATCAGGGAACAAAAAAACACTCACACATAAAGTTTTTACAAGGTCAGGCTGCGATGGAGTCTAGACTTGATGCCCAGTTCGTCGATCATTTGGTTCCCAACGGGGCCATCTTTGTAGATCTCTTGTTGCCTCTCGGGGAATTCAGATTCAGTCAAAATAGATAGTGCAAGACGAAAGAGGCAACTGAGGGGATTTTCAGCCTCTGTGCAAGAGTCAGTCGTTTACTGTACCCAAGGTTCCAGAAGGAAAGACAAGGTACCTACAGATCCCCCTCCCCCCCATGACCTCTCCCTCTGCCTGCATGTGCATCATGCATCCTCTCTCAAGTCGAGCTATTCATGGCATCATTCTCGCGTGCGCATTGACAATCAGTCAATCACACACTTTTTTTCTTGTCTCCCCCTCCAGCTCGTGTGTGCGAAAACCCGCACGCTACTGTACGAACCCCAAGGAAGGTGATAAAAAATGAAGAACAGTCCATCATCCATCGCCAATCAACTAAACTTTGAACCCGACTGCCCGGGCGCCCGGGGAAGCTTCCCGCCTGACGAATCAAGACGGCTTCCGCAAAATGGCCCGCAGTCTAGGGTAAAAAAGAACAATCGTGTACAGTAGTTCGTCCGCACAACAAAGAGACTATCGCATGTTCGTCCGCTTACTTAGCTAAACCTCAAGCAAGCAGTCTTGCATCCCCGTCCCCGGTTCGTGGCTTTTTACTTGAAGAATGCCTTGTTAACTAAAAAATGTCTTACAAAACCCTCCCAAAATCTTCAGCTCCGACTGTCAAGGCCGCTTACTTCTGAATCATGCAGTAGTTTAGGTCCATGGTGCCACGAACTGCCCGCCTCGCCCTGGGCCATGCATGACACTACGGTTCCTCAGGCGAGCAAGGTAACATACACCGCAGCAGGTGACTTGCCTTGCCATTGAATGCAGTGATTCGAGATTCAACTCGATCTCGAGATATCATTATACCGAGTTAAGAGATGAAAAAACTCCCCTGTAAACTTAAAATCCATTCATCAACCCATATGTTCCCACGATATACATTCAAACCCTTGCCTATACAAGATGCGGTGTGCTCCCCAGCCCCAAAATACCTACTCTTTTCGTGACCCCACGAGTCATTCATGTTCCCGTTTGAGCGCTGCCCGCGCGTAACGGGTCCAATTAACAAACAAACATATCCGTCTCGCCGGTCAAGGCGGGGACCCTTCATGCAGTCTCTCAATCCGGCTCTTCTTGTAGTTCAAAAAATCCTCCCGCTGTCGATTCATGACGCCGTCCAACTGACGTCCCCGCCGAGTCAATGCTGCTGCCCCTCATGGCAAAAGGCCCGCGCCGCCGAACCGCTCGCCCTGCCTTGCGGAACCCCAGCCACTCGCTGTAGATCACTTCTTGGAATGCGGCATGGGTTCCGTTCCCGCTCTTGCAAGCGACACCTCTCAGGAAACGCCATGGGATCCATTCTCGCGTGTCTTTCCCTGGCACTGGCATGTAACACTGTTACTACCGTATGCGTTGCATGGCAGGGCTGCCGAGACTCCATGATGCACGTCTTGAGCCCGCTTTGATGGTCAACCATGTGACCAACCTGGGGTTGATGATCGTCGTTATTGATACCTAACCAGATAGCTGAACGCAAAGGTTTCACTGAACAATATCACCAAGATAAGACACTCTGATGAATGCGAGATAGTCCAACTTGTCTTCTCTTGGAACCCATCTATCTTGACCGCCTCTTTCTCTACTTGCTGTCCGCTTCCGCAAATCTACATGACGATGCAAGCCGTCTCTAATCAACGAGCTACACCCAAATCGCATCTTAAAGGCTCAATTCCTGAATCTTCTCCACCAGCAGCTCTGTAAATGTCTCTACCACGTTGGACTCGGGTCCGCCGGCCTTAGCCTCAAAGATGCAGTCTAGCACCGTCTTGATACCCACTCCCACGCGGTCCGAGCCCGTCAGTCGTTGGATCTCGTTGAGCGTCGCATTGACGTCGCCCGAGTTGAATACCCTTGACTCTTGCAGAACTGTGGCCAGATCGCGGAGTGTCGACACGGCCGGTACCGCCACCTTCTTGGCAAAGTCCATGTCGATTTCGAGCATCTTGAGGACTGACGCCTTGGAAGTTGTCACAAAGATCAAGAGACGGTGGCCCTATAACACTGTTAGCTCGGTTCAACACCACATAAGGAATAATAGCTCACCTTGGGCGGCTTGGAGACAAGTAGAGTTGTCAAAGCCTCGAGCATCACGTTGGAGAAACGGGGTCCAATGGGGTTCCATCCAATCATGCGCTCAAAGTCATCCAGGATCAGAATACTAGCAGGCGACTTGTAGGCATCCGTAAAGGCCTTGTGAAGGTAATCCTTCTTGGCAAACTCGTCGCGGTATCCCACCAGGTCTGCCGGTGTAACCATCTTGACAAAGGGGAATCCGGACTGCATGGCGATGTGCGCAGCCAGGGCCGTCTTTCCTGAGGCCTTGGGACCGTGGAACAGAACTGAAGTGCTGAACTTGTTGGGATCCTCCTTGATCATGCCCACAACACGCATCATCTCCTGGATCGTCGAGTTGATGTGAGGCGCGTAAGGGATGATGCCCAGACGGACGGCCTCCTCAAGCTCTGCCTCGGAGACACCGTATGCTGGTCGGACCTCAGTCAGAGCATTCATAAAGTCCTCGCGCTTGACCTTCATGTTGGCCACATCCTGCTTCACGGCAGCCAGCTGACCAACTTCGGTGTGTCTCGAAAAGGCGAAAGAAGCCGCTGCCTTTACCAGACCATTGATCTCGGCACCAGAAAAGTTCTTGGTTAGGCCGGCAAGCTCCTCCATATCAACGCCAGGGTCCAGAAGGTTGTTGGTTCTCATCTTTCCTGTGTGAATCTTGAGAATCTCAAGTCGACCCTCCTCGTCAGGAAGCGAGATCTCCAGATGCACCTCAAGACGACCAGGTCGCAGAAGGGCATCATCAATCATGTCCTTTCGGTTGGTCATTCCAATAAGGAGAATGTTGTTGAGCTGATCCACACCATCGAGCTTGGAGAGAAGCTGGTTCACCACACTGTCACCAACACCGGTACCACCACCGGCTCCTGAGCCTCGCTGCTTGCAGACGGCGTCCAGCTCATCAAAAATGATGATGTGCAGACTACTCTCATCGCCCTTCTCCTTGTACTCCTTCTCTGCATCCGCAAAGAGCTTTCTGATGTTCTCTTCAGACTGACCAACGTACTTGTTGAGCACCTCGGGACCGTTGATGACCTTGGGTGGCCGGGCATTCAGCATCTTTCCAATCTGCCGAGCAATGAGCGTCTTTCCGGTTCCAGGAGGACCGTAAAGCAGCATTCCCTTAACGTGGGGAATACCAATCTTGGCCACAAGACCAGGTGGGAAGACACGAGAAGCAAAGGCTCGACGGAAAATGGTGGCAAACTCATCACCCAATCCACCAATACCCATATCCTCAAACTTGAAGTCTGGGGCTAGAATGGCATTGGAGTTGGGCTTGTTCATGGATGGCTTTAGGTTAAAGTCACCCCTTCCATCACGGTGGAACAGTACCCGGGTCTGGGACGTCAGAATACCTCTGGCGTGAGGTTCCCTGTAAACCTTCTTGCTCGAGTCATCGGAAGACATGGCCAAGTCGGTCAGGCCAACCGTCTTGACAACGATCAGAAGGGGAATGTTTCGGACGTCCATAAGGATGCGCTCGCCGGGAGAGAGCATCTGGTTCTGGTATGTGTCGACAAAGATCTTGGACAGCTCATCCTCGTCGTATGGGACCTCGGTCTTCTTGTTGGGGGATGCGAAACCAATCTCCAGATCGAGTGATCCGAGATACGCCTTTCCTCCTGACCCGAATGGGTCATAGATCTCTCCGGTAAACTGATCTCTCATGGTGATGCCGGCCCATGATCGCTGGGGGTCTGATAGACTGATGCAGCCCGAGGGGAAACCAGGGACTGGCTTTGCTGAAACAACGTATTCGCCGACGGGCTGGCCACCTCGGAGGAGGACGTAGAGATCGGATCCGTCGCGGCTGGGGGGGAAGTCGTCGGGAGAAACGGCGCACCTAAGACATGACTGTTAGGCTTGACTTCAATCTGGGAAGGGCGCCAACGTACAAATTGCCGTAGATAAGTCTCGACTGTAGGGACTTGTCTGTGACCTTTTCAACTCGGAGAGGGATCTGTCGACCACCGCCAGAGGGGCCCTTCTCAGCATGCCGGGGCTGACCACCGCCGCCCTGGTATCCTTGAGGAGGCTGCTGCTGCGCCCTAGGGTCGTTGTATCGCGCGCCGTAGCCCTGCTGTTGCTGATACGGATCACCTCCTCCATAAGGCGCCCGGGGAGGAGGCTGCTGGCTGCCACCTTGAGGTTGTCGCGAGCCGCCGCCCATGAAGCCGCTGAAGGGTGTTCTGGACATGGTGGCGGTGGGAGGGGTGAAGGAGGATGGTTCGGGATTGGATGGCGTGTAGAGGTGAGGATCGTGAATCGCTGCTGTATAGTCGTCGTCCCAGATCCTTATTATTCTCGCGATCTGGTGTACGTGGAGGTTGTAAAGTACAGATTTCAAGCTGAAGCCTGAAGCGCTGGCTTTACTGTAGGTAAGGTATTAGCCCAGCTTCAGCCTTGGATCCGACGCTGACGGACGCTGACGACGGGAGGGGCGATTTGCCAGGGGTCTAAGCTGTTACTACCTGAAAAGGCTTAGTGGCTATGTCATCTGCTTCTTATTCGTTTCGGCCCCGCATTCCGGAACACCAGCGCCTCCTTGGAGGGAGCTCCAGGCGCAAAAGATTCACGATTTGAGCTGTTGTATCTTTAACATCGCGTCAAGATGCCACTGTGAGTGGAAAATTCGAGACTGTTTATATAAATGCTGACATATCATAGCCATCTGCTAGGCAAAAAGTCGTGGAACGTCTACAATGCCGACAACATCGCCCGCGTCCGTCGCGATGAAGCTGCCGCGCAGGCCGCCGAAGAGGCGGAAGAGCAGCGCATGCAGGAGACCGATGCACAACGCCGACTAGCCATTCTACGCGGCGAAGCTCCTCCGCCCATAGAGGATACTGAGCCATCCACGGCCGATGAGCCGCCCGCTCGTGAAACCACACATTCTGGAAGCATGCGGCGGAAACGGAAGCGACCAGGCGAGGACGACACCGACTTTGAGATGCGCGTGGCGAAGGAGAGGGATAACATGGCTGTTGTCAGCATCGAGTCTGAGAGGAAACCTACGAGCTCTGCTCCGATTGTGGACCATGCTGGGCACATTGATCTTTTCGGTGATGAGAAGCTCAGAGCACATGCCGAAAAGAACGAGGAGGCAGAGAAGGAAGCCAAGAAGAAGAAGCAGAGCTATGAGGATCAATACACGATGCGATTCTCCAATGCCTCTGGAAAAGACGGCTCCCTGCAGCCGTGGTACTCCCAGTCCGATGCCGCAGCTCCAGACGCATCTTCCAAAGACGTCTGGGGCAACCAAGACCCGAAGCGCAAAGAGAGGGACACCAAGCGAATAGTGTCGAACGACCCGCTCGCGATGATGAAACAGGGCGCATCAAAGGTTCGGGAGCTGAAACAGGAGCGAAAACGATTTCAGGAGGAGAGGGACGAGGAGTTGAAACAGATGCGCCGGGACGACCGGCATTGTGAGAGACGACGACGGAGGCATGAGGAAAGTGGCAGGGGTGGAGATCGGAGTCGGGGCCGAGATGGGGAAAGATCTTCGACGAGGCATGAGGAAAGGAGGCATAGGTCGAGGGATAGGAGAGATGACCGTGACCGTGACAGAGGAGCTGAAAGACGGAGGCATGATCATTATGGGAGGGAGGGATCCAGCCACAGGAGAGACCACAGAGATCATGATGATAGGGATAGATCGGACCCAGAGAGGAGAAGGGGGACGAGATCCAGAGACCATGAAAATCGTAAAAGAAGAGATTCGCGATCTCCGGAACGAGATCAAGGCGAGCGACGACAACATCATTCAAGAAAAGAAGCATGATACATAATGTCTAGATACCCAAAAGCAATATTTCCAAACGAATTCAATCCAAACCTCCTTCTTGTCTCCTCCGTCACTCCTCCAACCACGGCAACCGAATCTCAACAGGCTGCATATGCTTCTCGACCATCTCAACCACCTTCTTCGCCTCAAGTCCCTTCAAAGCCTCTCTGATCGCCGCATACGTCTCCTCGCTCAACCCTTCCTTTCGATCACAGTAGATATCCAATCCTTCTTTCGTAAATACGGTTGGAGCGAACCATGTAACCGCCCACTTCTCCTTCACGCCGTCTGCTGTCGTGGCCTCTCCCCAGCCGAGAATTTCCCAGTGACTGCTAACAAAGAGCAGCCAACCCTTACCGCGCCAATCCCATCCGGTGCTTGTCGCCTGTGTGTCGATTCCTTCGACAGTCTTTCGCAATCCGTCCTTGGATGTCGGCTCATACTCGACCAAGTCGTCAAGGCGCGGCCGTCCATCAGCAGTCCCCGGGAGAAGCTTGTACGTGATACGCACGTTACGCGCGTCGCGCCACATGGAGAGCGTCGAATGCGTCACGGTCCATGTTGTAGTGATCCAGTCGAGAGCGGGTGCCGAGGGAGGAGCTACTGTGGCGGATCCGGCGTATTTCGAAGGGACTTCGAGTTTAATAGGTGGTTGGTCGGCAGCCATGGTGGTGATCCAAAGTTTTGGTGTTTCACTTGATGTTGTTGTGCTAAAAGGCAAATCCGCTAGCCAAACTTGTATGCCAAGTTATGATCGAAAAAGAGCGACCGGAATGAAGAGTGCGCCGAAAGATATGATGTTGTAAGATGAAAAAGAATGAGTTGACAAAGTCCCATTATCAGTGATCGTCACAAGCAAGGAAACCTATGAAACATGCAAGGCTTGAAATGCAACCTTGCATCAATCAAAACCGAATGATCCTTGAAATTAAGGACACACTCTAAAAAACTCTCAATCATGCATGTGAATATTTAATTAGTCGTCATCACACCTCATTGGATTTCCAATTGTTCAGATGAGGCACGACGTCGCGTCTGGTTTATGCTGTAAATTGAAGGGTGTGTGATGTCACTGGCCGTTTCTCACTTTAGCTCATCTGTAGCCTCACTTTCAACATTTGGCGGTGAACATCATAGAGGAGCTTTTGAAAAGAATGAAGTAGATAATTCATAATCGATACGCCTCCAGGCCAAAATATTTTCTACAACTATTTCATCTCGTTTCTCGCCCAAATCTGGCATAAAACTGCCATCGTCTACCTTATCTCATCCTATTCCAGGGTAGACCCCGTCAAGCCACATCTCATCTCAGCCCCCACCGCCATACTTAGGCTCCGCCGCCAAGCTTCGACCCCGGATTTTCGCGAAACCGCTCCTGGCTTTTCTCCTCCCATTCATCTCATCTCACTCGACTTCATTCCATCTCAGCCAAACATCCTCGGCTATATCTCCTCCGTCGCTGCAGGTGTCCTCAAGCCGGTTTTCTCTCTTGACCCCTCATCTCGACCGCATCATCTCTGCTCTCTGCGCTAGGCACAATGGACGCCAATTCATCAGAGCCCAACGTCGACGTCGACGCATCCGACGACGCCCTCATGGCCCAGATGGGCTTCTCCTCATTCGGCGGCGCATCTCCCCCCTCCAAGCGCCGTCGCTACAATCCCCGCGCCGATGCTTCGCTCCCTCCCAAACCTCCCAAACCTCACAAGCCCTCAGCTACCGGCGCCAACTCCACCGCCCTCGGAACGGGCTCCAACACGGACGAGATTCCCCTTGACGACGACGACGAGCCTGTGCAGCCGCCGGCGCAAGCGCGCCCGGCGAGTCTCCCGCAGCGACCTGCCCCGGCGGCAGATTCGCGCCCAGGCCATCATCAATCGCAACCGCATGGGACGAGGGACACCTGGTACGTCGGCTACTACGATCCCATGTCGAATGAAAACCCCTGGGAGAGGCTTGAGAAAGCACGAGGTCTGGAACCGCAAGGCACGTGGCTGCCCCGCGGTGCGCCTTCAACTGCGACAACTGGCGCTCCCTCCTGAGGACCGCATCCTATCTTGCAGCAAACGATCTGTCCACTGGGTTCGGGTCTGTACTCGTGAAAGAGAGCACATCAATCGGAGCAATCTTTTCCCATGGCCCCCAATCTGCCGTCGTTCAACTCGGCATCGGGTTTCGATATTAGCCAACATGACTGAGCAATGTCACATGTACAATCACGTGACCACAAACAGGGGTAATCCAACCTCCAAGCACCACCCGCACCACGATGATGGAGTCCCAGCTACGACGACACCATTGTCACGAATCACATGACGATACACATCGACACTGGCCTGTCAATGGCCCGGAGGGGCGTGGGGAGCACTCGAATCACATCTACGGGGGGGTTATCACATCCATTAGCCCTGGGGCCACACCATCAGTCCAGGAAGGAAAACGAGACCTCGATTGCTACGGAACAGTTACACTCCATACTCCCGCTGAAATATCCACAAAGAAATCCCCCATACGGCACATTGCCCTACCCAGGAGAGTAGCTCGTCGGCTCACACGTCCTGCCGCCTTGCCCGAAGGAGCAGTATCAGCATGGCTACCTCCCCCAAATAGGACAAGCGCCCCAAATACACAGTGTCCTGCCAGACCGCCGTTATTCACAGTCTCGTTTTCTCCTTGGTCCAGTGGTTCCCAAGGCTCCCCTCAGTACACACCCCCCTGGGAATGCCAGGAGCAGTTGACTTGCAGCCCTCGGCTGCTCCCGCGTCACCCACTCCACGAACACGTTCCCAAACACGTCGTCCCTGCAGCGATCGGAGCCGACACATCATGTCTTGCTGCCAGTCTTGCTGACGCCGTCCCCTGGCACCCCCACAGACTCCAGGGAGGTGGTGTACTTTTAACATCTGCCCCTAGAACACCCAGGTCGTCCAATCATAAGCCATAAAGTCGTGAAACAGCCGCCCATTTTCGCTCTCCCCCTCTCTCGTCTCCCCCACACCTTTTCCAGAATCCGCGGGTCAGGCGTGTCAGGGCCAAAAGCTGCCCACACGCCCGCCCTGTTCGTTCTGATAAAAGCAGCAAGAGATCTCGCGTCTAGCGGTGCGATTTGCCGCGCCTAGTGCCCCCGGTTTTAACGTCACCTCATCCTCGCCTCGCATGAACTACCCGTTCATGCAGGTCGGGAAAAGCTTGTGGCGTGACAAGTTCAAGGCAAAAAGTCAAAAAAAGAAGACTTGCAGTACAAAATCCTGAAAATCCGGTCGTCTCGGGTTCCTGCAGATGCAGCGAAACCACGTGGTATGTGCGAAATTTGTGGTGAGTTGGTGGGTGAAAACGAAGGTCGCTCGCTTGCTAAAGCAAAATTTTGGTGTGAAGTTGTCGTTGAGTTGCGGCTCAAAACGAACCCCTGAAACCCCCTAGTTCTCGGGGGAAGGGTATCGCGCACGAGCCTTGCTGTACTCCTTGGTGTGCTTTCGCGAGGCCTTGGACTTGAGAGATCTGTGAAATTGTTAGTCTTGCAGATTCGTAGAATTGCCTGTTGCAACGAGGCCAATTGAGTCTCGCTGCAACTCTGAGTCTCGTTGCCGACAGCCATTGCGCGGTTCGGCAACGAGAACTCAGAAAGTGAATTCTGGTACAACTTACCCGACCTTCTTCTGTGTCCACTCGAGATCGCTGCGGACCTCATGAGCATCTCGCATGCCCTCCTGGAAGCGCTCGCGGGTCTTGGCCAGACGAGCTTGCGCCTTCTTCTGCAGCTCCATGAGCTCTCGGTGCTTGGCGTTCAACTTTCCGGATCTGCCCGCAGAAAAAGTAAGCCCTCATCCACGCCGGGTATTTCTAGCCGGTCACGGCATTGACAGTGCAACCATCTCACAAACGGCCACCGGCAAACGCATATTTGCTGCAGCCGTTGCCGGGGTACATTGTGGGGAAGGTAGGGAAAGTAGCTGCTGGCAATTGCAAAAAAGGATTAACTTACGTCTGAGCCTGCATGGCCATGCTGCGGTCCAGGGGGATGGGGTCAAACGAGTTGGCGAAGCGGTCCTGCATGTACTCCTGGAAGTCGACGCCGCTGGCCGAGTTGGTGCTATCGTAGTCGCCGTATCCGCCAGCGTAGCCGGACGAAGTGGCCGAGTATCCACCGTTGCTGTAAGAGGGGATGCCCGAGGCGGAGCTAACCGATTCGTCACATTCCGGAGGCGAGACGGAATATTGGCTGTAGGTGGGGTAGTGGGAGCCCTTGGAGGGAACGGGCAGAGGCATGGAGTAGCCCACGGAAGTGTAGTGAGTAGACATGATGATTATGGTAGGGGGAAGGGATGACAAAGAGGTCAATTGGAGGTTTGTGGGTTTGTTGTTGAAGGTTGTGTTGACTCTGTGGTCGAGTCAAGTTGGGTCTGGTTGAGTGAAGCTGTCAAGACAAGGAGCAAGACAACAAGTCAAAGACTTGATATGAGGACCGGGCAAGTTGGGGCTTCAAGTCAGAAAGTTGGCTGAAGAGTGATGAGAAAGGAAGAAGAAGAAATCAACTTCAACTCGATCAAGTTGGCCCTTTTATAGTTTTCCAGAGACCCTCCCTGGTCAACCTGGATGAACCGGAGGATAACACATCCCGAGACCATTCGCCAGGCCGAGGACGAGCAACCCCGCTCGAGAGGGCGTGGAATGCGAATAGGACAAGATGATGACATGGCGGAGGATAGAGAGCGGCTAGACGAGACGATCATGGCGGGATGCAAAGGTGTGGGCCATGGCGGATGGCGACGACGACGTAAAGGGCCAGGAGGGTAACAAGGCTTGCGAGACTAGGACTACTGGGAGGGTGACTAGGGAGGCTAGGAGCGGCAAACGAGTCTTGGAGAGGTAATGAAATGGGACAAAGGTAAAAAAGTACATATTCGAGACGAACGGCCGTTTGAGACGCGGGCCAACGAAAGAGATGGATATCAGAGAGGCACGGCTGGGATGGGGCTATAGGGGGAGGGTGACGATAGAGAGGGACAACTTGTCTGAGCGAAATGGACTAAGAGAGACGGAAACGTGGCTTCGAGACCTTTCGGGGTCTCTAACTCGATAGTGACGCTGAGTCTGTGGATGCCCACGAGTTACCTTGTTAGTTGGGGGTGCAACGAGGACAAGCCTTGGGGCTTTTAGCAAGGGCTTGTGCATATGCCGAGAGCAAGAGTCCGCAATCTTAGATGTAGTATGGATGGAAGGCAAACGGCCAATGGGCCGAACAAACGGGGACGACATGGGATTCGTCGCTTGACGTTTGACCGGCCAAGGTACGGTACAGTACTGTACAGTGCAGTGGAAGTAAGATTGGGGAAATGGGACTCGAAAAGGTAAAGGATCTGTGTCAAGATCAACCTAGAGCTAGCACCCGGAAGACCGGGGGATGACGAAGCGAGCGAGCGAGCAATGCACCGTACCAGCAAGGGCAGATAAAAAAGAGTAAGAGAAAAGCGTGCGTGCGTGTGAGTGTGTATCGGAGCGGAGACCGAGAGAGACCCCGATTTGAGAGGACAGACCCAGACCGTGGCAGAAGCGCAAAAAGAAAGCGAGATGCTGGTGAGATGCCATGCATATCCGGGTCCATCAACGGACACAGGTGGCTGCACTAGCCGTTGGGTCTAGGTCTTGAGAACGGACAAGGGCCACGAGTAGAAGAAACTTGCACAAGGGGGCAAAAGCAAGCGCCGAGCTTTTCCAATGACAACAAGTGTGGTCGACTTGGGTGGGATAGAGTCGACTACCACGGGTGCATCTAGTGGCATTGATTGTGTAAGAGTCGACGACCCGTGTGTTGGGAGCTCGGTAGTTGGCCAAGGCAGCGGAGAGGGCGAGTTGGCGAGTCCAGGCCGGGCCTTGGCTTGGTTGTTCTAGGTTGAGTGACGTGAGGGATAATTCCGGGCGAGGGCTGGTTTGGGTCGCTGCTTTTCCATCATAGTACTGTAGCGGAATGAAAGTGCTGTAGGCAGATGGATGGATCGTGGTGAAAAGGGCCAAACGAACGAACAAGTCGACGCTGACTGGTTAGAAGGCTGGTTAGATGGACCCGAGCAGACAGACCAAACCAAAGCCCACACACCAACCACACCCTCACACATACATAATATCTGTACCTCTTTACAGTAGTCGGCCGGGTTCCGATACCGTTAGAGTACTGTAGCGGCAGCGCTGGCAGTGCACTCAGTGAGTGGGTGTAAGAAGAGGGCATTGGATGCCTCACCGTGTAAACAGGGATCCCGGGGAGAGATCACCAACCATCGACGGGACCCTTGACTATCCTATCTCGTCCCCAGGTCATTGTCCAGAATTAACATCCATCATCAACAGGGTCATGGCGGGGAGACGAGAGATGCGTGGCGACATTGTGGAAATTGGGGAATGCATCTCTCTTGTCGCTATCCGCTCATGTGCGTCTGGTGCGCATCTCGACTGCGTCTCGTTTCCTGTAACAGTTACAGTGGGAGCCGGAAGCTTGGAGCTTGGGAGGTACCAGCGGAATGGATCCATTCTGATGGTCCAGAGTGACGAGACGAGCGAGCGAGCTGCAAACAAGCGCGCTGACGCTAGGCAAAGCCAAAAGGTCCAAGGCATTGGAAAAGCAGCACTGGATTTTCGGGCTCGTGGAGAGGCACCAAACGCAGTCTTGCCCACACCCCCCTCCTGTAGCACTTGTTCGCTGGCGGCGCCTTGATTCAGACGTCAGGACTGGGGAGGAGAAGCCTTGGGAAAAGGGCCGCGAAAAAAAAAGAGACAGACAAGACACCAAGGACAGAGGATGACGGGTCCTGGGATTGGCTCATGGACCGGGGTGTGGGTTGAGCAAGCAACGCAAGGCAGCGGGTCGGGCAGAGCTGCAGCAAGTCGGGCAATTTCTGCTCGGTCTGTGATGTGGTGATGCGTTGTCAAGATATCTACCAGACGTTGCTTTTGTGCTGTGATGGATGGATGTATGGTGGGATCAAGATCCAATGTGGATGGAAAATATGAACCTGGTAAGTTAAGTTACAGTATCTCAGGGACCAAATCGGGAGGTTGAGCAGGTGCAGAAGTGAAGTCTCGCACCTGCCCGCTTAGTAGTGTAATGTAGCGTAGTGATGGTGTGGAGGCAGGAGCAGGCAGGGACTTTGTAAGAAAACGACTAACAACGGGCAGGTAACAGCCTGGCAGGCACAATGGAAGCACTCAAGAAAACAGGCAGAAACATGATATCTACTTCCTTGGATGGGGGACTTGGTTGATGGATGGTGGGGGAAGAAAGGTGCGTGCGCAACGTACCTATCTTGACAATCTGTTACCGATCTTGGATTTTCTTTTTCTTGGGTTGCTCCAACAAGATCCACGTGCCATGGCAGTTTTTTTCTTTGCAATTTTTTCTTTCTTTTACAGAGCCTCATTGATGACGCTCCTGGGGATCGTAAAGTCCCATTGATTCTGTCTTGAGGTGATCCATTGCTTGTTTGACTCTTCAATGCCATTGATGCCTGCAACTCTATTAGACATCATCACTACGATCACGGAATATCTTTCAGATGCTTCACAATTCGAGTTCCCGGCCTTTCTGCTCTCAAAGGAAAATGCAATCCCGACCGGACCTCGCCTCGATTGGTCATGAATAACTAACAGGATTGGGCGCGCTCGCTCTGGATTCCATTGGACAAAGGTTGGTCATGTTCATGATTGCATCGTAATCTTGTGCTTCTTTTTTTCGCCCCTCCCCCGCTTCCAAGTGCCAGCCAGTCAACCGCCAGCAACACCAGCAAGATCCACCATCCACCACTTTCACCACCTTGTTGAGCAATTGGGTCTGTTCTGCTGTGACAGGGTCCGGGGCCTCAGGGGGTCTGCCTGGCTGGCCCAGGCTGAATCTCTAGCTTGCGAAGCTTTGACAAAGGGACAGCTCGAGGGGATGACGAGGATATGGCTTTGTTGCCAGCTTGAGATGATCCGAATGGCTCATCATTGATGGACCCCAACAAGAGGGCGTCATGAGCACGTACACGGAAGAAATTGCAAGACTCAACATTTTTCTTTTTTTGGCTTTCAAGACAGTTACATGATGGGCTAGGACGACGTCTGAGCGGCTCTGCTTTGACGTCTTTCACATGTCTCATACTGGCTTCTCATGAGACAAACCGCCACTGCCATCTCTGGAGCACGTGTTTTCTGATAAGCAGAGCTCGAGGGGTTACTGTAACGGGCTAAACAACCTCAGAACGACGTTATAACTTCGATTGGCCTTGATCTCAATGTCGACCGGGCCGGCGTCTCCAGTCGAATAAACGCCCGCTGGAGCTTGAAGCTCGCTGCTCCCCGGCCTGTCTCCATCCGTCATGGAGAATCATGTCCATGGATGCTTGCTTGTGCAGGCTGCGCTGCAGCTCCAGGGCTTGCAGCCCAGCGTTGCGGCGGCGGCGGCAGCACCATCAATAGCATCTTCCAAGTCTGCAGCAACGGCGCCTCTGTGGCTCTGCCATTTGTCGTCGGCGCCGGTGTCCCGTCGCGAACCCACCGTGACACGATCCTCCAACGGCTCCTGTAGCCTCCCGTGCGCTGCGCGGGCCCATGAGGCCGTTTTCAAGCAACATGAAGCCATTCTCTGGATCCAGACAGACACGTCGTAGCTGGAGGAGCTGTCCCGGTTCATGCACATCCGATACGGGTACTTGCTTGCTGTACGAAACACGGCGACTCGCACATTCTGTCTCACCGTTGCTAGTTACATGGTACATCCCCAGACTTGGGCTCGGGCTTGAGCTTGCGATACAGTCCTGCGCGACGGTCGATCAAAGTCCGGTTCGACGGGCATGATCCCGGCTCAACCGCCTCACGATCTTGTCAGCCGCGTATCACTCTTGATGATCGCGTTTCTTTAGAAGGGAGGTAGTTTTGGTCTAGGACGTACTCAGGGTGGCATGACTTGCGAGCCCTGCGACGAGAGCTGTGCGTCAGATTTGAGCTTGAGCTGCGGTGCCTTGATGATTCGCTGCTAATGCTCCTGGACTATTGTTACTTGGTGATTGCTCGAGAACCAGTGAAGCTCCCCCCAGCTTGCACGCCCGCCTCACCTTTGCCAAGCAAGGTGAGCTGTTGGCACCGAGACGAACGGGTAGATGATGGACTGGAGCTGGAGACTGACGCGAGATTCGTCCAGATTGGAATCCATGGAACGAAAGGAAGGCCTGCCCTCTGACTTGTTACATACAAGACAAAAGGCGCCTCCACCGTGCATCGCATTGCATGGCAGCTTGCATCGCAGGGCGGTTGTCGTCTCTTTTTTTGTGCTCACAGATCCACCACACGAAGAAGCCATTCACAGCTGTCCAACCCCCAAACCCGCTTTAGCAGAGTTTTTTTTCCCTCTCCCTTGTGACAAACCATTCGACAGTGGATGGAATAACTTGCAACATTAACAAAGAAGAATAGAATCACCACGTAGGTAGTCCAAGCGTACATACATACCTACGTTCTGATACTACTACACACACACTCACACTCACTCTCCCCCTGCTTTGACAACCCTCCACAACGCACGGACAACTCAGCGCCGTTGCGTAGGTATGTGCGGACAAGGCGTGGCCCAGGCACGCGGGAGGGGGGAAGACTCTGTGCAGGGGGTGTGTGGTTGATGATGGGGCAGCTTCTCATAGGACGGGGACTTTTTTTTTTAAGAGGTGAATATTTTTTTGGTTGGAGATGGTGATGGTGTGCATGGTGTGAGTGCTTGACTCGACGACGATCCATTCATCCCTGGATATACAACTCATCCTTTTTGGGGGTTTAACCCCCGAGTTATCTATCCATCATATCCGGCAGTTTCTAGAAGGGGATTCTGTGTGGGTGGTTTATCCCGTCATGATCTCCCCTTGACCTACATCCATCTCTCCGGGGCTCTCTGACGTATCCCCCAGGACTTCTACTCTCCTCCCCCGTGACCTCCCACCATCATGGACGGCGGCGTCCCCTCTGCCGTGCAAGCAAGCAAAGAAAACGGGCGGGCGTAACCGAGAGACATGCCTTTTATTCCGAGCTGCCAAACCGACCTTTACATATACACTTCTTGTACCACCCAAAGTCTTTTTTATCCGCTGTGCCGCAGCTTTGCTTGTTACTTGTTACTCAAAAACAATCCTCAGCCTCAACTCCATTCCGAGCGTGACGTGAATGATGCCACAAGTTCTCTCTTTTCTTTTTTCTCTCTGTTCCTCGTCAGCAGGAAGAAAGGAAAAATACGATATGCCGTGTCGACTTGGTACAACAGACGTCAAAGTGGCGCAACACTGTTGAATAATCACACACAGCACATGTAAATGAACAAAAAAAGGAGAAGCGTTTCATCTCATTGTCTAACCCAATCCCCCTCCGTTCCGCTCTAAGCAAGCAGGTCCATCTGCATTACCGTTCATGCCATTTGTCCCATTCTCTCTAGTTATCCAAGAAAGACACCCCAGAGTAAAAAACCTCTCTCCCGATGTAACACCACATATAGACCCAAAGTAAGGTTTTCGAGGCAAGGTACCCGAAGTGGGAAGATATCTCCTTTTCTCTCCTGTTTTTTTTCTCTCCTCGCCAAGAGGGGGGCAAGTTCATGCTTTGCCTCTGTCCCCCCCAAGTCTCGTTCCATCTCGCAAGCCTAGCTCGAAAAAGTACAACCAAAAAAAGACAAGCCCGGGTTTGGTGATCCCCGGGGGTGTATGCTCAATCTTCTGCCCCCCGTCCAAAAGATCATTCCAGAGGTGAGTGAGTGCGTTGACAAAGAAGAAGAAGAAAGAGCAAGAAACAAAAAAACGAGGGAGAAACGAGAGGGAGGGAGGAGGCAGAGGATAAATCATGACCCCTCGTTGTATATGCACAACTTTAAGTCAAGTCCCCCAACATGTATCAAAATGTCTGTTGCTGTTCCTGCGCAGCTGTCTCATGTGCATCCAGGTAAGGCACCAGACCATCCTGGTTATTTTCATATATCATGTCTCGGCTGAGCAAGACACACTTGACTTATACAAGGGTATGGTACATCTAAGAAAACACCTTGAGGAAACCCCAGATGCCGATACCGCTCAACACGGGAATCGTCAAGTTGTCGTCCCAGCCAAAGATGTCCACCGCCTCACTGGCAGATGCCACGAAGCCAGACCACAGGCTCATGACTCCCAGGGCCAGAGCGCCAGTAATGCTGGCCTGTTCCTGAGACACACCAACTGCCTCGCAGATGGTCTTGGGCAGTGAGAGCACGCCCTGGAACATAAAGTTCTCATCACCAGGGAAGGGTCCGATGGTTGGAACGAGCCAGCCGTAGAAGAAGTACGACGTTCCAACGCCAACCAGTGCGGCCGCGATGGAACCGGCCAGGGACTTTCCGCGGCGGATGCGAGGGGTGTATCGGCCCCAGAGGCGGCCAAATGTGCTGGCAGCGGTATCACACCAGCTGAGCAGGAGAACGCTCATGATACCGACATCCTTGGGGAAGCTGTAGAGGACGATCCAGGCACCAAGGAGGTAGAAGATGACACCGTTCCAGCCATTGTATTCGCTCTCGCGCATCAGTGCACCGAGAACCTTTACATAGAAGCGGTTGAAAGATGCGTATCGATGTCGGAGCCAGTCGACCGTTGTGATGGGGATGAGTGCTGACATGAGCCAGGGTGTCACCGCCGTTGTCTGAGTGCCGGTGACGTAGAGCCAGATGACGAAGAAGCCGATCGACACGTGGAGGACTTTGCGTGGCACCTCATGCTTGTGCACAAATGTCCTAAAGTGCCTGTGGATGGGGATGAGTCCTAGAGGGCTGGGACTCCGGCTAAAGTCACGCCAGCTCCATCCTATCGACGTTGAGGGCGTCGGCGGCGCGAGGTGGCCGTTGGTCGCGACAGCTTTGCCGTTACCGTTGGTGCTGGCGTTTCCATTCACCTTGACTGGTTCCTCCGGGATAGCATCCTTGTTCAGCTTGCCCGCTTTGGAAGCGTTGCTCATCCGCCTTGATAGACGCTTCACAGCGGCGTGATCGATCGGTGAGCGACTGCGGGTGCGAGCCCTTCGAAGTTCGGGAGGATCCGAGTCATCATCCTCCTCGGTGTGCTCCTCGAGGGGTTGAGGCGTGGGCGTCCTCCTCCGGGCGGCGGAGCGCGTAACTGGGCCCGTGTAGTCGGAAACGTCTCGCTCGGAAGGCGTGGGACTCGGTGAGATGACGCGGGGCGTCTCGGGGATCTTGCTAGATCGGAGGGACATTGTGAAGGAGAAGGGTGGGAGTGCTGGACAGCGAACGGCGCCGACAACTATGCGCCGTAGAGAGTCGAAGCCCGAAGGCCAAAAGGCGTTGTATTTGTGGGAGTGGAGATGTTTATCAAGGCGCGATGAACGCACCGTTGCGACGTTGTCTGACGAGCAGGGAATGTTGGATGATGATGATGCGCCAGGAAAGAGTGAGAACAAGTTCCAGGAACCAAAAGAATGGAGTTGCTGTCGCCTGTCTGAAACCAAAGGATCGTCGCGTTCGTGGTCGTAGTCGTGGTGGCTATGCCTCTGCCGGTTGTGGCGTAGTTGACAGTGGTCGCTAACGTCTACTGGACCCTGACAACTGGTGCTGCTAATGCTATGACGGCGGCGACGTTGCTGATGATGTTGAAGATGAGGTTGTTGACCCTGGCTCGGAGTTGAACTAAGGCTCCGCGGCGCCGGAGACTTCGGAGGACGGTAAAGGTCGAGGCCGTCTATTGTTGAATCCAGATTGATGGTTGACAAGGATGCAGCGGAGGTGGGATCCCCCGCCGCATGATGGGTACGGAGATGAATGGCCCAAGGCTCGAGGTCACGACCGGGGCACGCACACATGCGATCCGTGTGACGTTTTTGGGTTGGGGAGTGAAGGCGTGACTTGATGCGCTCAGATAGCGGAAAAGCGTGGGAGGGGAAAAAAGAGAGACAGAGAAAAAGGTTAGAGAGAGTCGTGTGACACTCGAACGGTATCCGGCGTCTCTGGGTGGGTTCTGTCTATTTTTTCGCTCTCTCTTCTCATGGCTTGGTTCAAGTTTGGTTTGGCGTTGGTGGGCTTGAGATTTTTCGCTCAGCTCCCACGGGCTGTCACTGGATGGCATGGCATGGGTCCGGGGGAAGAGACGGAACGATGCAGAGAAGTGTACGTATCTGTGGCGCCGTGATTTCCCAAGTTTCCCTAAAACGGACACCGCCTTTTGTTGTGTAAACTACGAGCATGTGACTGCTGTCTGTCTGTCTGTCTGTCTGTGATGTGAGAAAGCACCTCGGTATCAAACTCCAATAATGCCCATGAATATCTGCGAGTTTGAAACAACTCTTGTGGACAACTGGCGAAATGCCAAATTAAGACTAAAAACAAGATTGCCTTATACGCTCAACCCCGGCACTCAATAAACAAATCACCCCCGGCTCTTCCGCAATCTGGCCTGACTGCTCTGCTCCAATGCCGGCCAAGACAGAGCGTGTCACGTCACCCCAAAACATTTCATCTCAGGGACCATCCAATCCCACGTCATTTGAAAATGTGTCCAGAAGTTGTGACCACGTGCCTTGCAGACAGACCCAGACAGACCCAGCCACACATGCGCCACAGTTGAAGCCTCTAGCTCCACCGTTGCGATAAGATAAAAATTTACAAGAAATGTTTTGCGCAAACCACCGGCCCCTCTAAGCCGACTTGCGACAGCTCTCAACTTGTCCCATTCGATTCAGCCTCAAACTTTGGTTGCCAGTTTCAAATCTGGACAAGAAGTCATGGCGCCTGGAAAGGAGAAGAGGAAGAGTCAGAGAGCTTGGGATGCTCTCACTCCTCCCCTCGCAGAATGGATCCTTGATGCTGTCGCGACAATGGGCTTCAGCCAGATGACGCCCGTCCAAGCTGCAACGCTCCCCCATTTTATGGGAAACAAGGATGTTGTCGTCGAGGTATGGCCTTGAATCAACCTCAATCCACCGAAGTCATCATCTAACTCTATCATAGGCTGTCACCGGTAGCGGCAAGACCCTCGCATTCCTCATCCCCCTCGTCCAAAAACTCCTTCGCCTCGGAGAACCCACCAAGAAACACCACGTCGCCGCCATCATCGTCTCACCTACGCGCGAACTGGCTGCCCAGATTCATACAGTGTTGCTCTCGCTGCTGCAATTCCACGAAGCATCCGCCGAAGTCCTCCCACACCTCAAGGGCGACGAGAAGCGTCCCGCCACCACGTCCGCGGCCATTGTGCCCCAATTACTCGTTGGTGGCACCACGACCACTGCTCAGGATCTCAGTTTTTTCCTTCGACACAGTCCAAATGTTCTCATTTCATCACCCGGTCGACTCGTCGAGCTCCTCTCGTCTCCTCATGTCCACTGTCCCCAGTCCTCGTTTGAGGTCCTGGTCCTCGACGAAGCCGATCGCCTTCTCGACCTGGGTTTTAAGCCCGATCTTCAAAAGATTCTGTCACACCTTCCGAAGCAGCGAAGAACTGGTCTCTTTAGTGCCAGTGTTAGCGAAGCTGTTGGCGAGATTATTCGGGTTGGCCTAAGGAATCCGGTCAAGATCGAGGTCAAGGTCAAGATGAAGGATGGTGGCATTCTTGAAGATAGGAGGACACCCGCCAGTCTTCAGATGACATATATGGTCAAACCCGCCAGCCAAAAACTTCCAGCACTTGCCGAACTTCTCGAGCGGTTACCCGTGAGGCCACAGAGAAGCATCGTTTTCCTTTCTACTTGCGCAGCCGTCGACTACTTCCAGCATATCCTACCATCAATCCTGCCAGAAGGCTTTGCTTTGGTACCGCTACACGGCAAGCACCCTGCCAAGGTTCGCGAAAAGAACTTTAACCGTTTCCTCACCTCAGTATCACCAACAATATTACTTACAACCGATCTGGCGGCCCGTGGTCTGGATATTCCCCAAGTTGATCTGGTAGTCCAGATTGACGCTCCCTCAGACCCCAAGGTCTTTATTCACCGCAGTGGTAGAGCAGGACGTGCTGGCCGAAAGGGCCTGGCTGTGGTTATGCTACACCCCGGGCGAGAAGAAGACTACGTCAAGTTCTTGGAAATTCGAAAGACGCCAATCGTGGAGCTAGAGAAACCCGAAGTCATTACATCGGAGGACCGCGCTGTGTCTACTACCAAGAAGATCCGCGATCTGGTCCAAGAAGATAGGGCGCTCTTCGACAAAGCCCAGAAAGGTTTCGTGAGCTGGGCTCGAAGCTACGGCGCCCACCAAGCTACATCCATCTTCCGAGCCGCCGACCTTGACTGGGAGGACCTCGGAAACGCCTGGGGCTTGTTGCGAATGCCCAGGATGCCTGAACTCAAGAACTGGAAGGGCGACAAGATGCTCGGTCAAGAGATTGACTGGGACAACTATGCCTACAAGGAGAAGACACGAGAACAGGCTAGAAAGGTTGCCCTTGAGGAAGAAAAGTTGGGCGGAAAGCCGGAAAAGAAGGATGAGAACAAACGCAAGCGCAAGAACGAGGCCTGGAGCGCAAAACACGAGAAGGAGGAGGAGCGCGTGGAGCGTAGGGAGAAGCGGCACAAGCGGCGTGAGGCTGAGAAGACGGCCAAGATGACGGATGAAGAAAAGGTCAAGCAGATGGAGCTTAACGAGCTTATCGCTGAGGTTCGGAAACAGAACCAGGCCAAGGCAGAGGAGAAGGACGACGAGTTTGAAGGATTCGACGATTAGACAGGAATATACCCCGTTAGTTGGTGTCTAAAGTTGGCCATCTTGGCCCCCATTCTCTCAACCCGAGCTCTCACACCCATTGGTTGGTTGGTTGGTTGGTAATCTCGGTTTCGGGTTGCTTCTCGAACGCCGTTTGGATAGTCTATTTCCGTGCATGTCGGTTTCGCTTTCTAAGCTTTAGTGCCACCGGTTATTAGCCTTCAGTCAGTGCTCATGACGCGGCAAGGCATAGATGCACCCAAAAACGCCTAGTAGTGGTTTCATCGCCTTGAGAGGCTGACGAGGCGTTCGAGATGGCACCTGAAAATCGGCCTCATGTCGGATTCTGCAGGCCAGGCTGCAAAAGGCCTCTGCAGAACTAAGAATGTGGATGTCAACGCAAGCACCCAGGGGTGAATTGCGCGGCCTTGTCCCAAACGCATGGGTAGGTGGTGGATCGTCGAGGAGAGGGAGGCTTATAAGGCAAAAGGTCCCAAGGCTATACGCGTATGGTGATTCTCAGCCCAGACGGGAATACGAAAATTCGGACTGGATCCGAGGAACGCGTATCCGGTCGTAGATGTAAGTGGACTGCAAGAGACCCGTGCAGGACTGATCACTCACACGAAGGGTTTCAGTCAGAATGCAGTTGCTTTGAGTAAAATGTGTGGATTTAAAGTGGCGGTTTAGGTGGTAGGCGTAGATTAACTTGATCATTGTTGATGCCCTTCTGATCTTGATTGTGAGCCACGCCAGCAACGTTGATGGAACGGACCAGACATCATGGCCCAACTGAAGCCTTTTGAAGGCGACGACTACCTGTGGAGATATGTCCCATCTAGGGCAGCCGCAATTGTCTTTGTGGTCTTCTTTGCGATCCCAACGGGCTTTGTGATTTGGAGGATCGTGAAAACGAGAAGCTGGCATTGCATCCCGTTTGCCATAGGAGGACTGTGTAAGTTGACATTACGGTTAGAAGGAAGCAGCTGACCAAGATAATGCAGTTGAAATGACAGGATACAGCGCAAGAGCTGCAGCACAAGGACTGACCGACGTCATGATGCCCTACTTCATCCAGCATGCTTCCATCCTGCTTGCGCCGGCCTTGTTTTCAGCAGCCATGTACATGACACTGGGCAAGATGATGCGGCGCCTCAAGGGCCAACGGCACTCCATCATCCCAGTAACTTGGCTTCCAGTCATATTCGTCGCAGGCGATGCCATGTCGTTCTGTATTCAAGGCAGCGGGGCTGGAGTTGTAGCTGCTGGTCTCGGCACCATGGAGACGGGCCAGAAGATCATCGCAGGTGGCATCAGCCTCCAAATCGTCATGTTTGGGCTGTTCATAGCCACATCCATCGTCTTTCACATAGGGCTGCGGCACTGGCCATCCGGCCCATCGCTGGCAAGGGGCTCAACATGGAGGCGGTCGATGAAGGTGCTGTACGTCGCCTCGGTGCTCATAGTAGCGAGGTCCACATTCCGCTTGGCGGAAAGCATCCTCGGCCCGGATGGATATCCACAAGGACATGAGTGGACGCTGTATGTGTTTGACGGGCTGCCAATGCTGTGCGTCATGGGTATCTTTGCGGGCTGGTTCCCAGGGGCTGAGGGTGGGCGGGGATCTCACGGGGATGACGAAGGGTGGCAGTTGGAGACGATGGACGCGTGGCCGTCATATGAGAGCCCTACATGAGGGGCCATCGATACGGAAGCAGCCGTGGGATAATTTCCGGGGTGTCCAGAGCCTCTGCGGAGAAATTGGGTGATCAATTAAGCTTGAATTTGTAATGTTGACAAGACTGATGTGATGGGCTGACGGCGAGTCTGTGTAGACGAGGTATCAAGGGTTACGTGGAAGATGGATGACGTAAACCTAGAGATTGTGGCTCATGCAGGAGAAGGAGCAAGCACAATGACGGGAGCGTTGAAACTCAGGAGTGTTCTTGCTTGCCGTTTGTATGAACGGCCACAAGACGGAAAGCGGAAGCAAGCGACAGGGATGGCTTCTAATTCTGGATAGGGCAGGACAGGATCGTACCTGACAGGTGTGGCTCACTCCGTGGCTTTGGTCAGTGGTTACTTCCCAACACAGTCAAGGCCCGATAAAACCATGAACCGATTCGATTAATGGGGCCGCAAGGGATGGAAGGTGCTTGGAGCATGGATTGATCCTTTTCAACTGTGCTCTTTCCCTGCTTTGCCTTACATTAAGCGTCGCGCCTACCTACCTACTGCCTTTTGCGTACCGTACCGTGCTTGCTCCATCAGCCAGTCTGAGTCTGACTAAACCGCCGCATTTTTTGCTAGAGCCAGCACCTGTCAAGCCATTCCGCAGAAACTTGACCAAAACAAACCAACCAAGGGCGCTTTGATCATTCACTACGACGACGCGGCGACCAGGACAAACTGTTTTTGACGAGGGCGCCACTTACTCTCGAACGGCCAAGACAATGGGCGCTTTCTCTTGCTGACCAAGACGACATTGGCAAGAAGCCCTCGCCTCTCATCGCCGCGCCTACGCGCTGCGCCCCTGAACTCCCCTCCTATCCCCTGCAATGCCCCCGCGTTCGGCTGCGGAGGCCAAAGGCTCCGGCTCCGGCTCCGGCGCCGCCACGGCCAAGCTCCGTCGCGCTCATCGGAAGTCGCGCAACGGCTGCTGGGAGTGTAAGCGGAGACATATCAAGTGCGATGAGAGTCGTCCGGCCTGCAGCAACTGTGTTGTTAGTGAGCGATCATGCTCCTTCCCGCCCTCGACAGCAGCATCAGCTGCCACTCCCGCCGCACCTCAAACTCCGACCTCCGTCCCAACGCCAAGTCCGGTTCCGTCACATTCTCAACCTCCGTTGCCTCCATCTCAAAATGCTTCAGGCGTCGATAGCCAGGCTCAAAGCCCTGCCGACAGCATGTCTAGTGCTACGGGCCTTCATTCTGCGTCAGGGCCCCCATCATCACTCTTTGGATCACGACTTGGCTTTCCTACCATCCTTGATGACCGACCACCTCCTCTAACCGCTCTACCGTCCTTCACCGAATCCTTCATCACCAACACGTTTGCCGATTCACCCTCAACTCCCTCCATCTCAGACGGTACTCCCCAGCCCGCCTTCACGGCAAAGCATCTCATCCTCTTGCACCACGCCACAACCGCTATGTCACTCACCAACGACTTGACACATCCCATCGTCGAAATCGCCGTTCAATGGTCCAAAGATGGACCCTACGCCATGGACCAGCTGCTTGCCATCGCTGCTGACCATCTTGCTATACTACAACCGGAACATGCCGCCTCTCATCGGCGAACTGCCAGAGAGCTACAGACGCGAGCGCTCACCCTTTTCAACAACCACTCGCAGGAAATGAGTCAGGAAAATGGCGACCTGGACAAATATTGTCTCCCTCGATTCCTTTTTGCTTCTTTGCTCAGCCTCCACATGATCTATGAGACATACGCGTACTACCGCGCCAACTTCCACGTCTTTATCGAGAGGTTCGTCGAGTCTGTCCATCTTCACCGAGGCGTTCGCACCATCATCTCCCCATGCTACAACATTGTTCTCGAGTCTCCTCTAAAACCATTCCTCGTCAACATCCGCCTTGCCTCGGAGTCAGATAACGGGGGGAGTGAATGTCTCTCACTACTTGAGCTCGTCCAGAACTCTGATCTAAGCGCAGCAACAGTCAACGCTATTGCAGGCGCTGTTCACACATTACAATGGGCCTTCAACGTCCACCGCAACCTGCCACAGGATGGGAGTGTGCATGCTGCCACCGCATTCCCTGTCCTCTTGACGGCAGAGTATATGGAGGCTGTGCGCAAGCACCGCCCTGAAGCCCTACTTGTGTTGGCATACTATGGCGTTCTCTTGCACCGTTGCCGTAATGCCTGGATCATAGGCTCTGGCGGCTCTTTTCTAATACGCCTCATCGCCGATTACCTAGGGAGCTTTTGGCAGGAGCCTATGCGCTGGCCCCTTGAAGAGTTGGAAAGAGATCAGGGGTGAGACGGGTGCCACACGTGGCCATGTTCAACACTGCCCGCTCGTCCCACCAAGACGGACGCTGAACTGCACGGCACATTCTTGAAGGTTCAGTCGATGATCAAGTATACAAGCTGGCACAACTGGACGGCTGGCCGAGATCATATGCTAGCACTTCTTGAGCCTGTCTCATCACACACTTCCTCACCTAAAGCAATACCGCCTCACGCTCCGCATGGTAGATCAATGAGGCGTAGGGGGGAGAATGAGGATTTCTGCTCGGATCTCGTCGAGGAAGTAAAGGTACTGTCAATACCTTGGTTATCATGTACAATATCTCATGGACAACTACAAGCTGGCATCCTCCTTGATATTAATCTGGACAGACATCAACAGGACCATAGCAAGGCCTCTTGTCACTGGGTAACGGGGAAGGATCTGGTTTATGTAGAAATATGTATTTGCCGGAGCGTCACAATCTGCTCCCTTTCCATACCTACGATATAGCCCTAGGTAGACAACTTCTACATGCTCCAGCCTAAAGCATCCACCTCGTCTCTCAACCCCAATCATCTGAATCTGTATTTCATTTCCTCTTTATTTATTCGTCAAAGTGAATGATCAACCGCACGCGGCACTCTCGTTCAACTAGTAAAACAACAGCAACAGCTCTCACAACCAGGCTCCTTTCTTTTTTTGTTTACTCCCCTCAACCCTAAAAGGGGGGCCGGGTTTGAATAAGGACATGCACCCCCTGCATCGGGTGGGCGGCGACCACTCTATGAAATTTGGTATCATAACAGCAAGGAAATCGAGCAAGGAGGAGACGCCGTCGCGCACGAGAAGGTCGGGGTTGTCCGTCGGGTCGCAGGGCGTGGATAGCCTCGATGACGCCGCTAAAGACCATAAAACTCCCAGCCATCCCCGGCTGACTCCGTTGGTTCCGTGTCGGAGGCGACTTGAGGCGCAAACTCGGTCCGCAGTTCCTCATCCAGTCATAGCTCCTCATCGTCCAGCTCCGAGGGCTTCAGCAGACCGCCGACCTTCTGTCGTCGCTCCATGTCGGCCGCCTTGGCATCCCGCTCCTGCTGCTCCTTCTCGACGATGAACAGTTCTGCGTTATCGCCGGCAAACTCCTTGAGGGAGATGAGGAAGTCACGGAGGTTAAGACGGAACTTGTCATACTGCGTGTTGAGTGTGAACAGTCCCTCGACAAAGGTTGTGATTTGGTTCCTGTGAAATGATCAGTATTTGGTCATGGGCTCTGGGGGACGACATACGCTTGCAGATTACGGAAAGCGTTTTGCAACAGGTTCGCCACAAAGTTGGCGACAAACTCTCGGTTGCCAGTTCCGGCCTGAGCCTGGTCGGGGCTGTAGATGGGCCCCTGGATCTTGGGCTGAGTACCATCGGCAGGGTGGATGTAGTAGAACAGCTTCATCAGCAGCATGGACTGCGTCTTGAAGCCAGCCTTGTGGTCGTTGTCAGTAACGACAAAGAACACATCCTGCAGAATGGTGATGAAGAATCGCTGGAAGAAGGCGTTGGCTGTCTGGACGTCAGTCTTCTCGGCGATATTGTTGATCAGCTCAAGGGCCATGTTAAGACCGGCTGCTTCGACATCCCGGTTGTCATGCTTGAAAGCCCACGAGCACGAGTCGATAACAAACTTGAACTGGTTGTTGTCGAGCTTGAGCAGAGCAGGGAAGCAGTGAAGGTTGATGGCTCGGAGGAGGTTGAAGAACTCGACTCGGTGCTCGGGGAACTCGGAAAAGTCCTTGTTGATCATCTCCAGAGTGCACTCGAAAACATTCTGCATGATAGTGGGAACTTGGTCCTCCATCAAAGCAGAAAGCTTGGTGATGATAGTGGAACAGGCCTTGAGAACCTCAGCATCTCGGGCACCAGGCACGTTGCGGTTGTAGTCGACGAGCACAGAGTCCAGCAGAGGAGGGACCATCTGAGCACGAACAGCCTGGAGGTCCTCCGCCTTGTCGACGTACACCTCGATGAGCTTGAGGATTTCCTTCTTGATGGTTCGGAGACCTCGGACTCTAGGCATCTTTGTCGCGAGCTCGCCATCGCGAGCAACAGCCTCCGAGATGAGTGTACTTGTAGCATTGTACATCTGAAGCATGTCGTGGTAGATGCGACCGATCTGGGGATAGAAGTAGGATCCCACTGATGAGCAGGCTGAGACATTCGTCTTCATGATGTTGCCGATGACCTTGATCGTCTCGGCGTCCTGAAGAATGGACGGGTTCATGGTCGCCTGCTTGATGATCTCATCCCAAGCCGCGTTGGGGATGGCCATGAGATCAGAAAGGAGTCTCTCCTGCTGGTGTTTGTTGCCCTGAGCAGCCACCATGTATCCACATGCCTCGTAGAATGTGTGCACTTGTTGAGGTGTCAGGTCGCATGTAATCTTGCCCATGTTTCGAACAATCTCCTCGATAAATGGCTCCTGCTCGCTGGGCTGGAGAGCAACAAAGTGTCGTCGGCATTGTCGGGCAATCTTGATGAATGTGTCGCAAGCCATGTCCTGCACACCCTCGTGCGACTCGTGCATGAACTCGAACAGCTTGTTCACAACCGTCTTAAGGAACTTCCAGTGAGCCTTGAGGAAACGCGGGTACTGGCCCACGATGTACATGATGTTACTGGCGACAACGGCCTTGTTGTCCTTGCCGCGCTTCATCTCTGTGAGACCCAAGAGATCCTTGATGACGGTGACGAGGAATCGCTTCTCAGTCTCTTCATTCATGGCCAAGGAAATGGATCCAATAGCCCAGCAGAGAACGTTGCAGTTGTGCCAGGACCACTCGGTGCCGTCGACTTGTCGCGCCAGCTTCTCCGTCATGATGTTTTCAGTGTCGACCACGTCCAGATGCGTCAGGTACACCAGGCACTCTCTTATCGTCTTGTAAAGTTGTACCGTGTCGCTCTCCTTGACGAACTCTCGCACGATTTCGCCCTCGTCGTTTTCGACAATCAGAACCTCCTCGGGACGAACCATCTTCTCAATCATGACGACTCGCAGGTTGGAGAGAACCTCGTTGTACTTGTGTTTTCGGAGGGGGTAGTTGTTGAGGATCGACGGGTTGGGGGCGCCGCTGCCAGAGATGCCTGCGCCGACGGCCATGAGGGGGTTGAGATCCGTGATAGGGAGCTGCTGCATCTCCTCATAAAGCTCTTGGACAAGCTTCAGCCAGTAATCCAGGCAAATCTTGAAGATTTCCCGATCGTCGATCTGTGATATCCTAATAAGATAGTAGTGACCGTGAATGAGGAAGTCTCGGTTAGGGAGCTTCTCGATAAGCTGTAGCGCAAGTTAGAGTCCAAGTTCAACAGTACCAACTCTACAAAACATACGTTCAAGTGCATTCCGAAAAAGTTGCACAGGAAGAGGGCCAAGTTCTGGATAAACTCCTGGTCCCTGGAGTTGCTGCTGGGATATGTCGACTTGAGGTCGAGAGTGACAGGAATGATGTTGGCAATCGTAGTCAGCGTCTCGGTAAACATCTTGACGAGCTGCTCGTCGTAGGAGTTGGGCTGGCCAGGGCCGCCAGTCTGGAGACCACCGATCTCGGTAAGGCACTGCATGGTGACGTTTCGGAATTCGGGAGTCGAGAGGAAGCGTGTGCGCAGTGTCTCGATCAGTGGTGTCTCGAAGATGTAGCCCAGAGGGATCCAGTTGCAGAATCGGAGCAGGGTCTCGAGGGTCGCCTTGATCAGGCTGGGCTGAGTCGCAGTGTTGAGGACCTCCTGGCAGAGGTTGAAGATCTGAGAGAACTCGGCGCACATGGTCTGCTTCAGGTTGCGCGTCTTGGTCGAGGTCATCTGCTCGGCCGAGTAGTCAAAGACCTCCTCCGAGAGCAAGCGGAGGATGATCATGTTGTTCTCGCAAATGGATAGGTTGGAGTGGCAGGACGAGATGATTTCGTTGATAAAGGTAGGCCAGTTGTGTGGCCATTCCTGCTTGAGGACGGAGACGAGAACGAGGTTGAGCTTGTTGAGCAAGGTCTTTTGCTGGCGCAAAGACTCTTCGGAGCTCGAGCACTGAATGATGAACTGCACAATGAAGTTTCGGATTCCTGGAGGTTACGAGCGGTCAGCGCTGGATACCGAGGCAAACCGGAGGTCATCGTGGCATGACGAACCTTGACACTGGTCTCGGGGGAGGACCTTCCACCTCGTCATGATAACATTATCGAGGACCTGCAGACCCAAGTCTGTCAAATTTTGTCAGCTACCCTGATCCATAAATTCTGTGTTGAAAAAATATGCGGTTCGGGGCGAGAGCTAGTCGGTGGCAGATAGGTCACAGTAGTGAGGCAGTAGAGTCGACGTACACTTGGTCTGGGGATATTGCGCATCGGAAAGGATCTTGTCGACCATGAGCCAGGCATCGGGATCTTCTTTGAACTATGCTACAGTCAGCCGTCACAAAGTCTTTGCAGCGCATATGGCAAGGAGAGGAGTGCGAACCTGGTTCAGAGCAGCTTGGGCGGATTTTTGCTACATGGTTCAAGAGACGGGATTAGCTCTTGTGCCTCTTGGTTCACGCGCGGGGTCCACGGCTGGGAAAAACCGAGACACCAGCATCACAACCTACCTGCTCACCGCGCCCCTCGTAGAATGAGCGGACGAGGTTGTCCAGCTCTTCAATGGAGGCAGCCATGTCGGGCGGCTGATTCGGAGTCGAGGACTTGTCGTTTGCGAGGGTTTTGGGTGGTGATGGGTGGTGGTTGTGGTGGGCGGACGACGAGGCGAGGCGGGGGAGGGAAGAGATGCAAGCAAGGCCAGCCCCAGGCAGATACACCTCAGATGGAGATGGGAAAAAGCAGAGCGCGCTCTATAACAAGCGATAGAGGGCAGGACAAAGAAGCAGGGGGGAGTCGCGGTGAGCGGGGGACGCGTCGCAAAAACCTGCACGAGGGCGAGAGTGAGGGCAAGACAGAGGAAGAGAGAGTAAAGAGGAGAATACAAGTTCGGCTTTGGTGGATGGTGGAAATGGAAGTGGACGACGTCGGTGAAGTGAGGTGAGGTGAGAGGGACGGGCTACCTGGGCTGGAGTGGAGGGAGGGGGAGGTGACGGGAGGTGGATTGGTTGGTGCTAGGTTTCCAATGGTGGGGAGATTGAGGTGCACCTTCTGTGAATACAGGCAGTACAGGCACCTCCAGTGGATCGGTGCCCCGCAGCCTTGGAGCCTAGCAGCGTCACTTCAGTAACCACCACCACCAGCTCACACAAGCTCTGACCTGGCTACCTGGGCTAACACACTGAGGTGGGCAGGCTGGGCGGGCTCAGTTAACCGCCAGCGAACGGGAACGGGATGTGATTTTGTCAGCGGCGGGGCTGAAAAATGGATGGTAGGCTCTGGTGACAAAATGTATCGGTACCTGTTCCCACCAAGACGGTCGATGCTGTCACTGTGGGTGTCGAGGGCAAAAAAGCAAGACGAGGCTGCGGTTCGTCGGCACGCAGCTCAGACTATGACGCTGGGACAGTTTGTATCGGTACTTGTGATGAGACTGGAGATGACCGCCGCGCGCCAAACTTCCCAGCCTCCTCCAGAAGAAAGCTCGATCGATCTGGGTTTTGGCCCAGTTTGAGATTACCCGATGCGGCTATACGGGTATACGCAATGACAGTTGGTGTCTCGTCTCAGCAAAGTCTCCGACTGAAGCAAATATCTTCTTTATCACGGAAAGTGTCTTGCCGTGATCTTTGCATGAGCATGTTGCATTCCTTGACGCACACAAAGGCATGGTGTTGTCTCTTCCACCAACTCGGCTGAATAAACTGACTGATCACAAACCTCACCAACCCAAGACTAAAACACGTCTCTAACAAAGGTACCATATTTTTTTTAAAGGCTGCTGCTCTATCTGCAAAGACACGTCCAACTCGTTGGCTCTATCGTCTACTCCAATCACACGCGGCCAGTTCTTTTTGGTTATTTTACTTGTTTATGCCTTGTAGCCGGCCTCGAACAGGCTGTCCCGCAGGGCATTGAGCGCCTTGTCAATGTCATTTCGGTTGGGGTCAAGCTGTCACACACAGATTAGCATTCTGAATGGGCGTCTAAACGTGATGAGAAAACTTACAGCGCTAACACCCATGTGGCCGAATCGAATGTACTTGGAGGCGATGGCCTTGTGAATGCCGCCAGCAAAAACGACACCCTTGCCGGCCAGCTTGGGCAGCACGTCGGGGGCGCCAACACCCTCGGGCAGGTAGATGGCGGTCATGGCGTGAGCCTGGTCCTCGGGCTTGGTGGCCACGACCTTGAGGCCGAGGTCTGCGACGGCCTTCTTGACCTTGTCCGACACCTCGATGTGTCCCTGGAATCGCTCGGCCAGAGGCTTGGCAAGGATCTGGGTAAGAGCAGTGTGAAGGGCGTGGATGAGCTGAGGAGAAGGAGTGGCGAAGTATGAGGGCTTCTTGGCCTCATAGTTTCTCATGACTGCAACACGTTAGCAGATGTTGGCTTGCTTATACAAGCAAGGATACTGACTAGGAGTCCAGTTCTTGAACGACGCAAAGTAGGCGGGGATGGGAGTCTTGCGGTTCTCAAGAGCAGCAGCGACAGCGCGGCCGCTGAAGAAAGAGATGGACAGACCAGCGGGAACACCAATGGCCTTCTGGCTGGCAGTAACGACACCATCCAGACCCCACTCGTCGAAAGCAATCTCCTCGCAGGCGACACTACAGACACCGTCGACAATGACCAGAGTCTCGGGGGAGACACGGCGGACAGTGGCGGCCAGGTTCTTGAGCTCGCTGAGAACACCAGTCGAGGTGTCGACGTGGGTGACGGTGACGATCTTGTACTTCTTCTCGGACAGGGCCTTCTCGATTTCGGGGAGCTGGGGTCGGCCACCAACCTCGCCGTCGAGCTTGGTGACGTTGGCGCCGTAGGCCCTCAAGCAGTCGGCGAAGCCATCGCCAAAGTATCCGGTGCTAAGAACGAGGGCGTCCTCACCAGCCTCGACCAGGTTGGCGGCGACGAGATCCCAGCCCAGGGTGCCGGAGCCGGAGATGACGTAGGGTTGAGCGGCGGGGTCGGTCGATTGGAAGAGCTTTCGGGTCATGGAGAGAGCCTCACCGAAGGTGTTGACGAAGCCGGGGCCGACATGGCTCTCGCTACGGACGTCAGTATAATTAGGAGTCATAGCAGGGCCTGGCTTATCTCACCTGTAGTGGCTCATGGACTGAAGAACAGCATCGTCAAACTCGATGGGCCCAGGGATGAGCAGGGTGGCATGAGGAGGTTGCGAAGACATTGTGGCTGTGGATGTGGAAAGGCGACGATTCTGAGTAGACGACGGAACAGATTGAGCAGCAGAGGCGGCGTTATAAGAAGGACTCGACAGATGGCGAGAGACGAGAGAGATCCTCCCGGCCGACGATGCTGCGGCGGCCGAATACGTCTTGAAGCCCGCCGAGGAGGTGCTCTCGGCGGACAGCTCCGGGCTGCGGGGCACCTTCCCCTCCATTGCCGACGCCGATCTGAGCAGGAGCGACCGACTGGCTACTGCCCCAGCTCCTACCCCCACTGACAGACGCTGCACCCACGCCAGCTTGACTGGCGGTACCGGAAGAAACCTGGGTGTGGCTCCCCCCCCTCTTGCAAAAAGGCTCACTGAGAGAGAGCCTTTCAGGGGCACGAACGTAACAGTACCTACGGAAGAAGGCCGAAGGTTTTTTGCTGGTGAGTGACAGCTGGATCGGTCGCCTTCCGAATCCGGGGTATAGAGACCGGGGGTTGTTGGTTTCTTTCTTTTCGGGGGTGTTTCGGTGCCGGATTGTCAGGCTTCACCTTCGGGACACTTTGAGTGGCAGAAGAAGCTGGTGATGGATTGAAGTGATTCAAATTGTCTCGGGGAGAGAGGGGATTTTCAGGAGAAAGGACAACCCGGGCTGCCGCTGCTGTTTACACTCTAGCCCCGAAAGACCCTGTCACTCTCCCCCCCCGTGTCCTCCGTCCCCTCTTTTTCCTTTTTACAGCGAGAGCGAGAGTCAGTTGCTACAGCGCCGGTTTTTACGCTGGGGGCTCCGCCGAACATTGGGCTCGGGGGTGTCTCGGCATCTTGAACCGATGGTATGCTCTTGAAATAAAGAAGGCCTCCGATATGACGGGCATTTAACCCGAGGACAGTCTTTTCTCCTTTGAATATGTATGATCATTTTCTTGTCGTGAATATCGTTATAAAAACAGAATGCAGTGATATAGTTACACCGCCCCTCGTCGAATCCTTGACGCCCTGGTTGCCCTGAAAACGAGATGCCGAGATGAGGACATCCACCGAATAAACCCAAATTTGTCTCAATCAGAGATTGGACTTTCGATGCCCTTATAAAACTGGAACAGCTTGCCCGCGCTCTCCTTCCACTGCACGTCGTTCTGCAGATGATGTCCCGCGCCATCAACAAAGGATACCCTCACGCCCTCGCGCTTCTCGCCAGCCGCCGCACGATAGAACTCGGCCGTCTCCTCCGTCACCTTTGGCGTCATGAGCTTGTCCTGTGTTCCGGCCATAACGAGGACCTTTTCGCCGCTGGAGCCGTCGTTGCGGATCTGGCGCAGGATGCTCGACCCCTTGGCAAAGGGCTGCATCATGCTAAAGGGCCAGAGGTAGCTCTCGTAGCGATTCATGCGACGCTGGAACGGGATCACGGACGAGAGGGGGAATCTGTCGCCGAAGAATGCGCGCTGGGTGAGCTTTGGGTGGGAGAGGGGTGAGTTGGAGTGCCAGCCGTGGAGCATCAGGCGGATCGTGAACCATGGGTCCAACTTCCACCAGTTCATGTACACGCCCATTCTACAATGGTTTGTTAGTTGCTGGTGGGATTGTCAGTGATGTTTTTACTTACGATCCATAAGCTGGTACAGCGCCCAGCAATGCAAGGGCCTTGACTTTGACGAGTCCATCGCCGAGGATGCCTTGGCTCAGACCGCCACCGCTCGAGTGGCCGGCCAGGATGACCTCACTCTCCTCGTGGACCTGAACCCACTCAATCGCCGCGACGAGGTCTTCAGCTAGAGCGCTGCGAGGTGTCGCAAACACCATTTGCAGGTAAGAGGGATGCCACGACTCTCCGTGGCCTCGCAGCGAGACGGCATAGCACTGGATTCCGCACGCGGCGAAATACTGCAGGTACTCAGTCCACACCCAAGCGCCGCCCATCCCACCGTGGCAGAAGACAATCGGGGGGCCTCTGCCCTCTTGAACGATGGATGGCGTGTTGGAGAGGAGCTCGAGGCGGCCCTCAGGCGTGTCTACCCATAATCGCTCGAGGCCGTCTGGTACAGGCGTGGGAGGGCCTGTAGGCCGCCTGAAGTGAAGCCACTGATAGCTGAGGTGAAAATTGAACATTGACGGCGACTTGTGACAGGTGAGTTGCTAGAATTGATGCCGAATTGACGTTGGGTTGAGCGGTGTGCGTGAAGATGGCGCGACAATCGGTGTCCCCTCACTTTATATACAGAAACTCTCGAAAAAGCTACAGCTCAAGTTTTCGAATGGGGAATAGGCTGGCTAGTAAAACGGGAACGATAAGCCTGCACTCCGCAAAAAAGTTTCTTGGGCGGTCACACAGAGCCAACTGCTACTCAGCCATTCAAAACCTCAGCCGCTCTTGTTTCGTATCGATCCCGTAGTTCCCCGGAGCACAAGCCACATTGCAGACCGTCTTATGCCGGGAGAAGTAGGGATGCTGCGCTGAGGACATGTCACAAGGTGATTGACGGAGAATCCGCTGCAAGCCATAAGCGCTTTTCTTGTCGCAATTTTTCAGTAAGATGGAAACAAGAGGTCTTGTGAGCTCATAGCTGAATGGTTAGTTTCTGACTCGTTGTTCTGCCTCAAGACTCCCAAAAATAGTATTCAGGCGTTGAAGGGCTGAGCCAAATGTAGCATGTGGTTTACAACTGTTGGAAAGCCAATGGCTTGAGCCTCTATCGCGACAACTCCCAGCCTAACGCGATCTGGAAGAATAAACGAATTAATCTCCGCCTGAGATCGAAGCCAATGACTTCTCGAAGGAATCCGTTCCCCCATCGTGGGGTTCCAAGAGTTCTAATGAGGCTCCTTCTCGGGATCTGTTCCCTATCAATCAGTGATTTGACCCCGCTCCTCGGGACGCCTGCCGTGCAATCACCATAGAACCAACCATGGACAGCCAGAAGATGGCAATTTTCTTGACTTTGCAAGAGCTCTATATTAATAAGAACTTTATTCTTCTTCTGAAATTCTCCGACGGCAATGTCAATGCCAGCTATTAGTCCTTCTGGCAAAGTCAGGAAGCGCTCACCGAAGGCGTGGGTCGTCTCGTCCAGCTCCACCAGGTCATGGGTGGCTAACAGTTACAGCTGCATAAGATGTCGCGACCAAAAGATCAAGTGCTCTGGCTCTCAGCCTTGCCAGCAGTGTGATAAGAGAAGTTTGACCTGCCGGTTTGACGAGGAGTCGCGAAAGGTGGTGGTTTCAAGGAAGTGAGTCTCAGTCCTTACGTGGCTACCTAGCGTTTCTCATCATTTCAGGTACATCGCCAACCTCCAGGAGAGGTTGTCCCAGCTTGAACACAGCGCAGCCCAACCAATTCCTCCCAATGTTTCTCCCGAGCAGTTGAGAAGCCCAGACTTGAGTGAGTGTTGTCACCACGACTTGCCAAATCACGCATATTGACATCTGCAAGTTGATGAGAGCCTGGCTTCGTCTGCAGGCACCAACCGCAGTCCAGAACACCGATTTAAGGACTCAACTTCAACGCCATCATATGATCCAATAGAGCCACCGAGAATCCAGAGCGATGTGGAAGCAAAAGCCCCTCTCATCAACCCACTGGCATTCCACACCTATGACTGGGTGCCAGGCCCAAAGGGTCAGATAGGTGAGTGAGGCAATGCTAAAAGACTGGCGGACTTGAAGCTGACCCAACTACAAGTCTTCATGGGAACGTCTTCCAACTGGTCATTTGGCAGACGAGTCCTCACAATGACACATGAGCGCCTCACAGGAACTCCACTACCCATCCAAAACCTCCATTTTGGTGGACTTGACGGCAAAGTCTATGATCTCAAATGGGACGGTAACAGGAGAGCCTCTCCTAACGACACTCTTGACCCATCAATTCTCCCAGCACAGGACTTTGCCCTCTATCTCATCAACTCAGTCAAGTTTCATTGCGGGTGGCTCTTTAACCTGTTCGAAGAGGAGCGCTTCATGGAACACTTTCGTCAGTTCCACGAGCACCCTTCAGAGTATCCTCGTATTGCGCCGCTCTGGTATGTGCACTACCTTCTCGTTCTCGCCCTTGGCAAAGCCTTTGTTGTTCAGTCGACAAAATCGAGGCGGCCACCAGGAGGAGAACTATTCGTGCATGCCATGAAACTTATGCCGGATTTCACCTTTTTCGAAGCCGACCCTGTGGAGCAGATGCAAGTTTTGTGCTGTGCTGCACTGTATCTGCAATGCGTAGACTATCCTTGCCAAGCCTACCGCCTTGTGAGTTGCTTGAGTACACGATGATATTTTGTTTTGCAGCTGACCAGCCCAAGATCTGTTCCGCACTCCGGTATAGCCTTGAACATGGCATGCACACAGAGATGCAGTCTCATTCCCTTGACGACAACTATGTGCAGAGATGTCGTACCATCTGGTGGACCGTCTACATCCTTGAGCGCCGGATGGTTTCTCAAATGGGGGTTCCTATCGGAATATCAGACGAGACTATCAGCACACGGTTTCCTACCTTTCCAGGACAGCCTGAAAAGTTGGAGGCTTTGAAAATTCAAGTCAATTTTTGCCGAGTGCTAGCAAAGATAGACCAGAGTATGTATTTCAACATCAGATGATGACTAGGTTACTAACACAAAATAGCTGTCTACGGACTTGAGGGGAAGCTCGACAGTCGATATCTAGGGGCAACGCAATCGGTTCTTAGGAGCATCGCCACAGTTACGGAGCAGTTGAACAGATCCTTCGAGATCCATGCGAACGAAGGAATGGCTGGGGTTTCTCGCACATCTGCACATTTACACCTGCTTCAACATCAAGTACGTGCGATTCTTTAATCCGACCTGTCTGCTGGCTAACAGTATCAAGTGCATTATTCTAACCACAAGACCCCTTCTCTATACATTTTTGCTATCAAGACTTGGGCATCTAGAAGTGGCCTTGATGCACTGGCTTCAGTCAGAGAGTGTCAAGGGCCTAGTGCAGATGTGCACCGAATCTGCCCAGCAGATTCTAAGGATACTTGCAAGCCTCTCAGATCAGGGGCTGCTAGGTTAGTTGATATTTACTTGGCAATTGATAAACAAGAATCATCCAGGCTAACCTTGGACAGAGACATTTCTACCCTTTGATCTTGACGCAACCTTTACTGCCACCATTGTCTTGTTGATGGCCGCTGCTATCGACTCATCTCTTCTCCAAGATCACACTCCTTGGTCACAACGCGCCTACGCCATCTTTGACGAGATGAACCGCCGTGGAAACCTTGTGGCAGAAATGTTTGCATCAGAACTCAAACAGCTAGAAAGTCTATTGAGCAAATTCTTGGTGAAAGACCATGAGCCTAGGCTTGTGCCATCGATCAACAGCCACAACACACCACGACAAGATCATGTCGATGGCATGGACACTTCGACGGTGACTGTTGCTGAGTACCCGGAACCGTTCAGTCTTGAGACGACCGAAGACTTTGGCTTAGGCTTGAGTTACGAGCTCAGTGCCGAGCAACTCATGAATGTTGCGGATTCCCTGGATATTGACAGCCTAACGTGGCCGTGGCCTGATGAGGGTGTGGCCGACAGTGGGAGTCCTGGTGCTTGATAATTGAAACTTGGCAGATCGACTTCATTGCCCTTGAAAGAGAAACTACAAAGTCTTTCTCAACTAGATACAGAAAACCCAGGGCAAAGGTGGCTCACCTATCAAGTTATTTGCTTTGAAACTCTACGGATATCCGCCCTAGTTCAACTTTCACATAGCTGTCCCATTCATTTTTACGCTTGCAACTAGTAGTTCTTCTTAATCAATCCATCAAATTCATAGGAATCTCATAATAGGTTATAGTGAGCATAAAGCTGAGCTCTGAAGCCTTGATCTAGAAGGTATGTGAGTGACTTCACAGAGTTCGAGTAGATAAATGGTAGGTGCTTTCAACTTCTACAAGCCATTACTAACCCTCCACTGCCATTAACGGTAACTCAGAGAAACAATGATGTGGGGTTATGGGGGAGTGTCTCCCCATGGGGAATACTTGGTACATAGACGCTTGGTCTCGGGAGGCTATCCCGAGATTGCATTAGATGGACCACACCCGCTCCCGGCAACTACACGCAAAGAAAGATACGCGAGAGACTAGTCACATACCCCGGACATCTAACATTTCTAGGCACAGTGGCACGCCAGAAAGTTCTAAGAGCTAGTGGTTGGGGGGGGGGGTTGTAGGTGGGGATACCCTTGGAGGCTTGTCACTCACGGGCAAAGAAACAACCAGTGCATCTGGCAGCCTTCTTTTGGCAGTGACCGACAAATATCGCACATCACAATCATCACATCTTATGCAATCACGTCACGAAGACTCAGATGTCTCTCAACAGGTTAACTGTTCATGATAGCAAGAGGGTATATAATGCTCCTAAATGACTAGAGGCCGCCTATCATGTGAATTGCTCTGCTGTGCTCAGCGATTACCACAGCTGCACATAGGTCAGGAAACGCCTCCACTTGGGCATCCTGTAGTACTCGTCCAGCTGGGTAATCTCTGCGGTGCTCAGGGGTCGTCGACCAGTCTGGCAATCAGCAGTGGCGGGGTCTCTCCAGGGCGTTCGGTAGATGAGCTTGTATCCGAGAGTGAAACCAAAGATGACCAAGACTCCGATCATGTACTGGAAGAAGTTTTCGGCAGTGAATCCTGCGCCGCCCTATTATTGATTGTTAGCCATAATGTTCTGTACTGTTCCATAGCCTGTCGTTCATCGAGACAAGCTTGGATGATCAGAGTAACTTACAACTGGCTCGATACCCGAGTAGATACAGCAGACCAGCAAGAGGAGGGAAATCAGCATCAACCAGCCAGGCCCCAGAGGCCAAGCACTTGACTTCCAAGCATATACCTCAGAGAAGAGCTTGTCGTTCTGGGCTTTGAGAGCGGCATGGAAGCGCCAGTTGGTAAAGGCGATGATGATCCAGTTGGTGAAGAAGGAGGCGCTGGTGATGGAAATGAGCCAGTTCAGGACCTTGAGACCTCCAGCTGTGACAGTGTGAGCGGTTGAGGGCATATAGTGAATAAGAAAGCTTACCAGAGAGCTGAATATAGCCTAGGATAACGGCAATGAGGGAAGTGATGACCAGAGCGAGTCTAGGTCGACCCTTGTCATCCACCTGGGCGAGGCGCTGCGACACAAGTCCCTGATGAGCCATAGACCTCAGAACTCGCGAAGCAATATAGACGGATTCGGCAGCGATGGCAAGGACACCGCACATCATTCCAGCGTTGAGAAGCGAGGAGATGAAGGGGATGCCAGAGTCTTGGACAGCGACGACGAAGGGAGAAGCAGCAACACCGCTGCCACCGAGGAGCCTCTCATCGTTGGAGGGGACCAGGATAGTGATGAAAACGACGCTGAGCATGTAGATAAAGTTGACTCGGAAGGGGACGAGCTTGGTGGCGTGGGCCATGGAGAAGCGAGGGCTTTCGGCTTCACCTCCCATGATTCCGATAAAGACTTGGTCACCGACGGCCCAGGTAGCGAGAAGAGCGCAGTTTGCGAATCCCTGGAGTTGTAAGTTTCTGTTGCAGGTTTTCTTTAGTGAAAAAGACTTACCGAAAAGCCGTTCAGGAATGCTGGTAGGTCAGTCCATGTCTCGCCGTGGTGAACTTTTCCCTTGGGTCCAGCACCAAGGACCAAGGCCAGAGAAAGAGTGATGATGATGAGGAAGAGAAAGATCTTGATCAGAGATGTCACGTATTCGAACCAAGCAAAGACCTTGTTCGGGAGAAGGAAGATGACGAGGCAGGCGACGAGGAAGATGCTGACTATAAAGGGGTTAATTGAGCTCTTGAGTGGAGTTGTGGGTGGTTTACTTGTTGCTGCGAGAGGGAAAGATCCTTCGGCCCAGTACTGAACCAAGATGTTGAAGAAACCGGCTTCGGCGGAGACAATGGCAGTCCATCCTGTCACCTTGTTAGAATAATTTCGGATAGTCAAATGCTCTGATAACTTACCAAGCCACTCAGCGAAACCAGCTCCAAAAGCCAAGGCAGGGTCAACCCAGCGATCGGCATAGTCGATGTAGTTGCCAGAAACGGGGAAAGCAATGGTCATTTCGGACAGAGACTGGAGGACAGCCCAGACACAACTGCAGACCATGGCGTAGGCAATGACCATGTTTCCAGGGCCGCCAGTCGCCAGGGCTTTACCGGTGGCGATGAAGACTCCAGAGCCAATGTTGGAACCCAGGGCGATGACCTTGACAAATCTGTTAGTGTTTGAACTGACAACCAGACCTGGATGTTTCATACATGGACTTGGCGAGGCGAAAAGGAGCGGTGGAACTGGCCGTGCTGATTCTCCTCCATCTCAGCTTCGGCGATACTGCCGACGGGGTGAAGAGCTCCATCATCCTTAGAAGTTCTGAGCTTCTCCGGAGAACCGGACGAGACATCTACGTCATGAAGTCCCATTGTGAACAAGTTGTATGGAAGTGAACTAGAGTGAGAGATGGAGATGAGATCCACCGACGATCTTTGGGGCCGTGATGGGAACCTTTATATATCTCTGCCTACCTCTGAATCAAGCACGGACCAGGCCACAGTGGCAAGGTTAACCATGAGTACATGAAGAACTGAACCAAATCCCTGGAAAATCCGGGGAAAATGATGGTGTCGTCAATGAGTCGTGATTGGGCTCTACGGGCAGGTATCCGCGTTTGTACAAGGTCTTTAACGCTATCTCTGTTTGTCAATCTGGCAGGTGTTTCCTTGAGAAGATTAGCCTTTTGTAGGGCCAAGGGAAAGAATCGACGACTCATGGCGCCGCAGAGATTAGCTCCTGGTGTTGGCTTATCTTTTCTGTCTAGGCACCCCCTGGAAGTTCCCCGGATTCTTTTACCCCAGGTTTCTACCAAGCTAATTCGGGTCTAGCTCTTGGCACCATGCGATTCGAGACTTTTGCTAGGTTATCGGACAACTGCGAATCACCGAGCAGGGAGTCGCATGTGATGGGTGGCTGAGTTTAACGCTACGGCAGAGGATCCGGAGATGCAACGTCCGCAAGTTTGATACGAGGGGATATGGCATGTTGTGCCGATGCTTGTACCGTGATTCTCATGCTTCTGAGACTTGAGCAAAGGCCTATCGGATGCCACGCGTCTGTTGTCTGATGTAGGGTTTAAGATAACGGTTACGCTGACGTTGAAGTTAACGGTGTTATCGAGACGGAATCACACCGAGGAGATAAGGTGGGAAGATAATGCACAAAGCTAGTCCTCTTTTGAACCACGGTAACTCGTAGAGGTAAATAGCGGGGCAGATACTGGCGTGAATTTCCTGTTCAAGAAAACGGCAATGCATTGACCGAACTCCCCCGCATCTTCTATCACCGGGTCATTCTGCCGGCCTTGATAAACCGGCACAATAGTCCGTGCTAATCTGGACCAGTCTAGACGCCAAGGGGAGGGTCGATCAGGAAGGAGTCCGCGAAGGAGACGTAGTGATTGGAATTGAGCCCGTGGGGGGAGACACATGTTGGAGAATCACGACTGCTCTTGGAGGCATCATGCGGACCGTGTGAGGCTTTGAGAAGTTGGAGAAGCACTCGGATACAACAGCCGGTAAGTATGGGAAGGCTGTTACTTAAGTCACTGTGAGTCGATGCTGCAGATGTGAGTATCAAAGCAAGCATTGAGTTCATCACCTCGTCTTTCTAGTTTTAGTTCTTGTCCCACAACCACCACAATGCCTTCTTACGTGGAAAACAACTCCCTAGACGCCATCATCGTCGGCGCAGGCTTCGGCGGCTGCTACCTCCTCAAGAACATGCGCAAGCAGGGGTTCAAGGTCCGGGTCCTGGAAGAAGGCCTCGGCGTCGGCGGCGTGTGGTGGCATAACAGGTACCCCGGGGCCCGATCCGACACCCCTGTGCCCCTGTACGAGTTCTCAGACCCAGACATCTGGAACAACTGGGAGTGGTCCGAGGAGTACCCCGGCCAGCCAGAGATCAAGCGGTACTTTGAGTTTGTGGATCGTCAGTGGGACCTCAGCAGGGACATTACGTTCGGTGTCAAGGTTACTGATGCGTCTTTTGATCCTGAGAGGGATGAGTGGACTGTCAAGACAAACACTGGGCTCTCTCTAACTGCTCGCTTCTTCCTCCCTGCCATGGGCTTTGCCTCCAAGATCTTTACACCTCGCCTAAAGGGTCTTGAAAACTTCCAGGGCTTTACATGTCACACAGCCAAATGGCCTGAAGAGCCAGTGGATTTCAAGGGGAAGCGTGTTGGCGTCATTGGCACAGGTGCCACGGGTGTCCAGGTCATCCAGGAGCTCGGTCCCAAGGTCAAGGAGCTGGTTGTATTTCAAAGATCGCCCAACTGCGCGCTACCAATGCGGCAGAAACCTTGGGGAAACCAGGACAAGACCGCCTACCCCAGTTTATACAAGCAGATGAAGACGACGTCTGGAGGCTTCCTCTTTGACAAGGTCCAGCGGAGAGCCATGGATGATACCCCTGAGCAGCGTGCCGCTCTCTATGAGGAGCTGTGGCAGCAGGGAGGCTTTGCAGTTACACTCGGCAGCTATGTGGATCTCATGACCGACTTGGAGTCTAGCCAGGCCATCTATGAGTTTTGGCGGGACAAGGTTCGAAAGAGGATCTTGAAAAACGACCCTGAACTTCTTGAGCACTTGGCTCCCATGAAGCCTCCGTTCCCCTTTGGCACGAAACGCCCTTCCCTAGAGCAAAAGTTTTACGAGGTTTTCAACCAAGACAATGTCAAGTTGGTCGGACTCAAGAAGAACCCCATTGATGAAGTTCTTCCCCACGGTGTCAGGCTCGCCGACGGGACCGTTCTCGAACTCGACGCCCTGATTCTCGCCACTGGCTTCGACGCCGTCACAGGCAGCTTCTCCAGAGTCAACATCAAGGGCCTCAAGAACAAGGTCCTCAACCAAGAATGGGGCACCGGCTCCCGAACCGTTCTTGGCCTAGCAACATCAGGCTTCCCCAACATGCTCTACATGTACGGCCCGCAGAGCCCCGCCGCCTGGTCCGTAGGCCCCGTCATCTCAGAGATCCAGTCCGACTGGATCATCCGGACGCTCTGCTACATGCGACAGCACCGGTTCTCAAGAATCGAGCCCAGACCTGCGGCTGAGAAGGAGTGGGCGCACGTGACGAATGAAGAGTGCAACAAGACTCTGCTGCCCTTGAATGAGACGACGTGGTACATGGGCGGGAACGTGCCGGGAAAGCCACGAGAGGCGTTGAATTACATGGGAGGACTGCCGGCATATCAAAAGGCTCTGGATGAGTGTCATACGAACGGTTTTTCGAGCTTCCATTTGCAGTAGATTGATAGACCTAAAGAATGCAAGCATCTTATCAAGTTGAACTGTATTGTTATCATTTATACGAGACTCGGATGTGTTCCCGATGCTCGATCTCACCACTGAAGAGGCTGATTCGAGCAATACGCTAACGAGTCAGCAAGCAATAACAGTTCCGTAGTTAGCGTAACCGAGGAGAAGGGTGTATCCCTCCCCTGTCAGACGGGTCTTATCCTTATCCAGACACGCCGCGATAACCTTCCTAACCGTCAAGACCTTCCTATTGTCTGTTGAAAAGTGGTCAATGCATCTTTTTCGGTCAAGGTCTGGACTCTTTCACCGTGGACTGATTTACTCTAGCGATTGGTCCCCTTTGATCGTGTTATCGAACTCCTCGCGCTATCAGCACGTCATGGCCCCTGCTGCTGGAACCAGTTCGTCTTATCGACTTGAATCACACGGTTTGTGTTTAGTTGCATCAAGATAGGGGTTAAATCAGGTTGTATGTACAAGAGGCATCCCATACGATAACCTTGATCAGACTACCCAGCATCCGGCTTCAGCACTTTCACCCACGACAGACCAGAAATCAGGACTAAAACCCCCCCCGAGCTTTCGCAAATTACCAGAGTCGAATGAAAGGATCCCACTTAGATTAGGTATAACATTGTCAACAAATATATCAACAATAGAAACATAAAGCTGACACTATTAGATCACGAATGCTTAAAGTATACAAGGCTATCTACAACAATTATCATCCTTCACCTACCTACTCGAACATCCGGTTCCTTAGCCCAAGGTTTCGCCACCCTCGCCGATTATCAACCTACTCAAGCCGCAGCAGCCGCTTGGGCACCCGCCGCCGCCTTACCAGCAGCTTCAGCAATCTTCTCTCCGAAAGAGACAGAAGAATCTCCCTCCTTCGTCACGCCGGCGGGACTATTTCCAGCAGCGGCTCCAGCAGCTTGTTCAGCCTGTTGGCCACCCGCAGCCTCGCCTTCCTTTGTCGCACCAGCGGGATCGTTACCACCAGCAGCTCCTGCGGCCTGCTCGGCTTGTGGTGCGGCCGACTCTCCCTCTTTGGTTACGCCAGCAGGATCGTTTCCAGCTGAAGCTCCCGCAGCCTGTTCTGCTTGGGGAGCAGTTGAACCCTCTCCTTCTTTGGTCACACCAGCAGGTGAGTTACCATCTTGACCAGCAGAGGCGCCTCCTTCTTGTTGAGCGGTAGTAGCTTCTGTCCCCTCCTTCGTCACACCAGCTGGATCATTACCACCAGCAGCTCCTCCGGCTTGTTCAGCCTGTGGGCTAGTCGAGTCCTCCCCTTCCTTTGTTACGCCGGCTGGTGAGGTACCGTCTTGACCAGTGGAAGCTCCCTCTCCCTGTTGAGCCGTTGAAGCGCCCGCATCCTGGCCAGTAGAAGCACCACCTTGTTCGCCTTCCTTGGTGACGCCAGCAGGAGAGTTACCGTCCTGGCCAGTTGAGGCTCCGCCCTGCTCGGCAGTCGGATCAGTCGAACCCTCCCCTTCTTTGGTAACTCCAGCGGGCGAGGTACCCTCTTGACCGGCAGATGCTTCTCCTTCCTTTGTAGTCCCAGCCGTAGAGGCGCCTCCATCCTGGCCAGCAGAAGTTCCGCCTTGCTCAGCAGTCGGGCCAGTGGAGGCTTCTCCCTCCTTAGTTACGCCTGCGGGAGAGTTTCCATCTTGACCAGCAGCAGCTTCACCTTCCTTGGTGGTACCGGCAGTGGAAGCACCACCATCTTGACCGGTCGAGGCTCCGCCCTGTTCAGCGGTGGGATCGGTTGAACCCTCCCCTTCCTTCGTCACGCCAGCAGGTGAAGTACCCTCCTGTCCAGCAGCGGCCTCGCCCTCCTTAGTGGTGCCTGCGGTGGAAGCGCCTCCGTCTTGGCCGGCAGAGGTTCCACCTTGTTCGGCAGTAGGATCAGTTGAGCCTTGGCCTTCCTTGGTGACTCCGGCGGGAGAAGTACCATCCTGACCGGCAGAAGCTTCACCTTCCTTGGTAGTGCCAGCAGT